TTCTTAAAAACCTGATGATGACTCCACATAGGAGTTGAAACTAGTTGCAACTGCAATTAAATGGATTGCTTGATAGCAGGTATTTAAACCTTTTTAATACAAAAATATATACATTTATCACAGTTAAAATCTTGGCTTGTTTGAACAAGGGCCTACAGTGCTCATAAGGGTCTACATTAAATAAAACCATCACAGCCTTTTTCTGGATCACTAAAACTTCACTTATTTTTTAACTATTGCCCCAGTACAAAATAGCATAGAGCAAAACACTATGATAAAAAGCAAAATAACAAGATATTAAGTAATGACTAGGTAGGCTAAATCTAAGGCGACGCAACATGTGAAAAACTTTGGAAAGCTTTGAACAAACCTTAGTAACATGAGTATCCCTAACTAACTTAGGATCAAGATGGACACCTAAAAGTTTAACGCTACTGTCATCATCTGCCTCTTTTGGTGCTCTTACGTCTAGAGAGAAAGTTAGAGTAGAGAGAAAGAGTTCGGGTTGGTTACATTCATTGTAGTGGTTCTCTGAGGTTGAGCTGGACTTGATGAGTTCGGTTTGGTTACATTCATTGCAGTGGTTCTCGGAGGTTGAGCTGGACTTGATGAGTTCGGGTTGGTTACATTTATTGCAGTTGTTCTCGGAGGTTGAGCTGGACTTGATGAGTTCGGGTTGGTTACATTCATTGCAGTTGTTCTCTGAGGTTGAGCTGGACTTGATGAGTTCGGGTTGATTACATGCACTGCAGTAGTTTTATGAGGTTGAGCTGAACTGCAATTAACCTTGGCCAAATAAGGGTTAGAACCAATTTTTGAAAGCAGCACTTTAATGTAGCTGGTGATGTGGATGAATAGTTCACTGATTTGGTCTTCATCTTCAGCTAAAGTTTCAATGTTCAAATCATCTTCACTTGATGTACTTACAATTCGATAAAAATAAGAATCAAAGTCTTCTTTCTTCTTCTGGGTTTCTTGCATGAGAGTCTTTAAGGCTTCGTGTTGCACAACTGTTAATGTTTCTTCTTGTTCAACATGTTGATCTACGATGTTTCTTATTTCGTTGAGACGAGTTTTAATAAAAGATGTGAGTCGTGTATAAGTCTCAATTTTAAAATCACTATTATTTGGAGATGCCATTGTACAAAGATGAGGAGATTAATGTAAAAAAATCACAAAGTGTAAATGAGAGAGTTAACAGTTTCAATATGGAAATAAGAGTTCAGTTAGATAAGAGTTCAAAGGCACGGAAAACAATGGGTAAAATGAGGAAAGATTGATGTATGAAGAGTTTTAGTGGAAGAAAGTAATTCCATATCGCCTAAGTAATATCTTGGATCGAAGGACCATTAAATAATGTGAAGTGTTTGAGTAAATTAATGAAAAATTAAGAGAGAAAAAATAAAAGTCATGTTTACAAGAAGAACAGAAAGGAATGATGTTTATTTATATAATACAATGGATTATCTTTTTATCATCAGCTGTTTTAGTAATTTAAAAATTCTAAACAGGCTAAAGAAAAATTTTAGATAAAAGAACTGAACACATATATTCTAAACAAAAACATAATTGTAATTTAACATTAATTTTTTTAAATTACTAAATTTCTAATTATGACTTCAAGTTCCAAGAAATTTTAACGTGATGTAAAATGTTGACTTCTATTCATATTTTGTTAGGAATCTCCAAGGTTTTCATATTCATCTATCTGATAGGATTTTTTGTTAAGTTTTGATATGTTTTAAAGTTTCTTTGTCTTACTTTGTTGCAGACTATAAAATTAATGAGTAGTTACATTTAAAACTTAAATTTAAACGTAATACTTATCTAATTCACTGGTATGCCATTGTTAGGTTCTCACTATTCCGGATCTGTACCGAAGAGCTAAAAACCTGAACTGATTATTTATGATGAAAGAGCCAAAATATTGTCTTGATATAATTTGATTTTCCTTGATATTTGAATGGGCCTAGCACAAGAGTATAATGCAAATAAAATGTCCAAACTAACATGCACATTTTGTTAAAAAAACTTGTTATCCTGTACAAACTAACTATACTACATTCACCAAATTTGGGCGGTTTGAGGGGAAGTTCCTCCACTACTTTTTTTACTTAATATATATGGCCCAGCTGATTTATATTTTGGCAAACCTCAGCTGTTGAGCTATTATTTTTAAAGGTAGGTTCAAGTGGAGGGGATAGATTTCTTCCCCTAAAACCGCTTTAATATTGTGAACGGCGGATAGCATTATTATATACATCCTTTAACTATTTACAACTGTACCTGAGGGCACTGCTTTCGTCCATACGATGGCGTTCGGATCTCATCATGGAAACAAAATGAGAGAACGAGGACTTATCATTGTAGAAAACCAACACATCTTCACCCGCATTCACTAGCTAATATGCAAATAAAAACACACGTTAATGGTAACACACAAAATACTACTTACCTTTCTTTTAAACTTCACAGTAAAAATGTTATATGCCTTCAAAATTTTTCTGCATTTGGACACTTAAAGGAAATGTAAAAAAAAACATTATTATATTGATGTCTGTATTTTAATTAGTGTAATCCGCTGTTTCTGTGTTGCATGACTATACCACCAAAAGAATTCCTCACAATGCCTTAATGTATTTGGAGAATACGCTTAAATTTCAAATATTACCCTTGTGTCTTATGGCGAACAGTCTTGTGGCTGTATGAAAGAGTATTTGCTTGCCTGTTTCGGTATTGGTGTCTTTGCTTTGTTGTCTATTTCTTAATTTTTGGTTATCACAATATAAAAAGGTTTTGTGTTTTATGTTCTTGTAATGGTTAAAATATTATGAGATCAGAAAACGAGCGTTCGGACGATTTCAAATGTCCCGCGCGAGGTCATTAGTTCCTCGAGCGGCCATGTACTGCGCTAGCGTCTCAACCCCTATAAATACGGCACAGGACCGGGCACAGTCGGACTCGAGCGCTGGGCGAATAGCTAGCATCATCTCTCCCTGGTAAGTGGAGTAGAGTACCTCGCGAACCCTTAGGCTGAGTAGCGAAACAGCTCTCGGACCCGCGGATATTACGAGACGATAGGCTGAGTAGCGAAATAGCTCTCGGACCCGCAGATGTTACGAGACGATAGGCTGAGAAGCGAAATAGCTCTCGGACCCGTGTATGTTACGAGACGATATTTTCTGATTTTCAGGACGGGATTACAAATGATTCGGGAATTTTTCGGGACGGGATTTGATCCAATCGTCTGCGATTTTGCTGCTCTGCGAGTGACAATGACGCCGCTATCGCGAGAGATGTTCACGATAGTTCCGCGAACGCAGGAGGTGAAGTCATTTCACGATCGCGCCGTGACCGCGGAGTCATACCAACGATCACGCCGTGACTGCGGAGTCATACTGACGATCGCACCGTGACCGCAGGGTTATTTTGACAATCACGCCGTGACCGCGGAGTCATACTGACGACCCTGCCGTGACGGCGAGTCATTTCGACCGCGAGTCACAAGTTTCTATACGTGTAACTTTTACCCGTTTTTTTGTTTTTATAGATCAGTGCCACAAATGGTAAAAAATTGATTTTGTTTGTCTTTTATGATAACTGCAATACTCAAGACTTCCTTTTTATTCACAGGAAAATATCCCGTCCAGTCTCAAAAATCGGGAAGGAAATAAAAATCCCGTCCCGTCCCGAAGTAAAATTCAATTCCGACCATCCCTACTAAAATGCCACTTAAAAATATAAAATTCGAAATTTTAAAAACAGGAATAAGGTGCATGTCATACAATGTCAATGAAAGTTGGCCAGTTGGCAAATTTGTTTGTTATTAAAATAAAATATCCTTTGATGGAAAAACAAAATGTTTCCTAGCTTAAGATAGCATACTTTAAAAAATATGTGCCAATAATAATTTGAATAGAATGTTTAGTGTAATTTATTAATTTATTGTCTGAAAACCTTTGAGTAGAATGACGTCATTCCAATGTAGGCCTAGTCATGTTTTGAGTTATTTTTAAAGTGATTATTATAATTTGACAAAATCGATTGTAAGGTATGTTATTTAATGATTATAAAGCGTTTTTGATCTTGTAGTCTAGAACTAAAAATAAAAACAAAAACCCCACATTAGTTTAATTGAAAATTGTCATGATGAATTAACTGTGAAATGTAATGTATGTAAAAAATAAATCCGTTGGTGGTAAAAAATTTGAAAAAAAAGAGTCAGTAATTAGTTCAGTAATTAGTTTAATAATATGTTATTGCAAATTTTAACATGCTCCTGCCAAGTACATAAAAACCGTTAAAACTCTACTAATACAATCAAAGGTTTATTAATGCTACATGTAACTCACCAAATAAATAAGGCTTTGAGTTAAACAAAATATACAACATTGGCGATAATTGCTAAAGAAAATATATTTTATAAAATCTACATTAAAGTGGACTTACCTCTTGCATAACCATGTCTTGACATCTGCGGATGAACTGGTTTTCTGCTTTTACGATCGTTTGGAAGAACTTCAAATACTGAACGTGTCGGCCATGGGTCTCGATGCAATGAATAAAATGTTGAATTACTTTCTCATTTACTTCATTGCAAAGAGTTGAGTTATCTTGAAATATGCTGCATAGGGTTTGAGCTTCCCTTATCTGAAATAACATTTTCATATAAATACCTTTACGCCACACTACACTGTTTTAACAAACTTCCCACGCAAGATTTTAGTCCAGAACAGCTGTTTGTGGCCAGCTTAATCAAATGGGGTTTCAATACGTACTACTGTACTATAATGAGTTTTTACCGGACAGCAACCAGCTGATTAAGAATGAGTGGTTATAAACAAAAACATAACCTCTATAGAGTTTATGAATAGTGATTGTTAGTCCTTTAGTCGGTGGGAATAAATAAGGATTTTTACAGATTTGTTATTGTTAAGTTAGCTTAGAGTAGTATGGCGTAAAATATTGTAATTAATTTGTCCAAAATGTGTTTACCGGACTCGTATGGTAATCCCGTACTCGACTTCGTCTCACTCGGGAACGACCACACTCATCCGGTAAACACCTATTTTCAGGACTAGTAACGTAATACTATTGTGGAATCATAGAAAATATAATGCTAATGAGGGATTCAAGAAGAAAATAAAACTTTCAAGGATATGAGATAGTTAAGAATATAAAAATGGAAATAAATTTTCATTTAGTTTTTTTCATTAATTTACTCCCATAAAACTGCAATGTCAACTGTACTTACTCAAACCAGATAAGCTATGCTGTCAAATAACAAAATATAATAATTGTAGGGATGGACAGGTCCTGAAATTTTGGGAAATTTTCAGGAAAAAAATATTCCCGATTTTCGGGACGGGATTACATTTTACTCAGGAATTTTTCGGGACGGGATTTGACCCGATCGTCGGCAATTTTGCCGCTTCGTGAGTGACGATGACGACGCTATCGCGGGAGATGTTCACGATAGTTCTGCAAACGCAGGAGGCAAAATCATTAACGATCACGCCGTGACTACGAGTCATACCAACGATCATGCCGTGACCGTGGAGTTATACCGACGATAGTGCCCTAACCGTGGAGTTATACCGATGATTGCGCCAAGACCGCGAAGTCATACCGACGTTAATGCCGTGACCGTGGAGTCATAGTGACTATCCCGCCATGATCGCACATATAAAATATTAGAACGTCTGATACTCAATCGAAATGGATTTTCTGGAACAAAAGATCATTCTACAACAGGCAGGTTTTCGATCAGGCAAGTCTTGTTGTGGCCAAGTTTTAAACCTGACCCAGCACATTGAGAATGGGTTTGAGAGAAAACAGATCACGGGTGTCGCTTTTTTAGATTTAACAGCTGCCTACGATACCGTAAACCATCGAAGACTCTTGGGAAAAGTGTACAGTATTACCAAAGACTATCAGCTGACTTCAATGATAGGCACTTTTCTTCATAACAGGCGGTTTTTCGTGTCCCTTCAAGGCAAGAAAAGTAGATGGAGGAATCAAAGAAATGGATTGCCTCAGGGTAGCGTCTTAGCCTCAGCTCTTTATAACATTTACACTAACGACCAACCGTTGCCAAACGCTACACGTCAGTATATATATGCCGATGATACGGCGGTGGCGGCACAAGGTAGGAGTTTTGAAGAGGTGGAACAGAAGCTGACTATGACTCTAAATGAACTTTCCCAGTACTATGACGCAAATCACCTGAAGCCGAACCCTGCTAAGACCCAAGTTTGTGCCTTTCACCTAAACAATAGAGAAGCAGGCCGTGAGTTGAATGTGAGGTGGCGGGGAGACCGTCTTCAGCATTGTCCTACACCCAAATATCTTGGTGTCATACTGGACCGCACACTGACATTTAAGGCGCATTGTATTGCGACAAGAGGTAAAGTCTCAGCGAGGAATAATATCATCAGGAAGCTCACCAGCAGCAGATGCTGGGGTGTTAACCCTAATGTCCTCAGAACCTCAGCTTTAGCGCTCAGTGTGTCGGCTGCGGAGTACGCTGCATCAGTATGGAATGCATCGTCACATGCAAAAAAGGTTGACATTGCAGTCAATGACATGGCTCGGATTGTAACTGGGTGTTTGAAACCAACCCCAGTACACAAACTCTATCCTATCGTAGGGATCGCCCCTCTATCAATCCGACGTGATGTCACTGCCGACACAGAAAGGACTAAGCAAGAAACAGACCCTCGTCGCCCATTACACGGCCACCAACCTGCAGAGCGACGGCTTCGGTCCAGAAAGAGCTTTTTATCTCGGACACGAGTCCTGGATGGATCACTCTCAAGCAATCGGGTGGCAAGATGGGAGGCCACGTTGACTAACCCTCCCATACCAGCCAGGGAGGAACTGGCTCCTGGTGGAGGCCTTCATTACACGGTGTGGAAGACCCTAAATCGAATTAGGGTCGAGGTACCAAAATGCAAGACAAACATGCAGAAATGGGGTCTCTTACCAGACGAAGAAAACATCTTGTGCGTGTGTGGTGCGGTTAAGGATCCTGGCCATCTGCTAATCTGCCCACGCCTAGACCAGTCTTGTACATTAGATGATCTTTTACATGCGAACGACAAAGCCATATCGGTAGCTAATTTTTGGAAAAGCGAAGTCTGATTTCCGGAAACGGAAAGTAAGTATCGCGGAGTCACGCTGTGACCTTGGAGCTATACCGACGATCGCGCCGTGACCGCGAAGTCATACCGACGATCGCGCCGTGACCTTGGAGTTATACCGACTATCCCACCATGGTTGTGGAGTCATAACGACGATCGCGCCATGACCTTCGAGTTATAACGACGATCATGCTGTGACCGTGGAGTTATACCGACGATCATGCTGTGACCGTGAGTCATACCGACGATCACGCTGTGACCGTGGAGTCATACCGACGATCACGCTGTGACCGTGGAGTTATACTGACGATTGTGCCGTGACCGTAAAGTCATACCGATAGTAATAATAATAATAATAATATCACTTTATTGTCATAAAACATTTCACATTTCCAGCAAAGCTGGTGAAACAGATGACATTGTCATTTCTTAGCTAACAAAAATAAAAATTAAAACTAAGGATTAAAATTAAACTAGTCACTTTTAAAAAAAAACAGTCATTTAAATACTCTTCTATTGTATAATATTTCTTTTTTATAAGGAATGTTTTTAATTCTTTCTTAAACTTTACAATGCTATTGATATTTTTTAAATGAGCAGGTAGACCGTTGTAAAGCCTCAGACTCATGTAGTGCGGCGATCTTTCATACAGACATAGCCGATGTCTTGGATACTGCAAATTATTTTTTGAACATGTTTGGTATTGATGAATAAATTGATTGTCTATAAATAATTGTGCATTACTCTTGAAGTATACCAGAATTTAATAAATGTAAAGTGAAGGCATTGTTAACATTCCATATGTTTCAAAAAGCGGTTTACATGACTTTTTTTGTGTAAATGATAAGATTCTTAAAAACTTCTGACAAGTTTTATGTCATTTGTTTATGTTGTAGTAATGTTAATAAATGTGACAATGTTTGATTAAAACACAAGTACCAGGGGACCGATCTTGCTCGAGGTGTTTGATTTATTCAAGAAGTAAAAAATAGAGCTTATAAGCCTACAAATATTTTCAGTCTTACTACGATTAATTAAGTAGTAAAGTCAACTCGTTTTTGTTAGACATCCACTTATCCTCAATTTAGTCTACAAAACTTTTTAATTTGGACGATCAATCTATAAAATGTCCACAATAAGCTTCAATCAATATAAAACTCATGATACATAACATCTGTTATCTGACGACCGTTATTGCATTAAGTCACTGGGATCGTGGAACGTTACAACTATAATTACGGGATGGTGTAATAACGCATCAATTCATGTGGTGCATCGTCGAAAAATACAAATCTCCTTGGCCTTTCCTTTAGATTTTTAGTTCAATGACAGTGTATATTGTTTTGCAGTAAAACACTTAATGTTTTTTAAAAAGTCGTAATTATCCCTTTGGTTAGTAAGACATCATACAATGCAAGTGTATTATACAAGCAATTTTCAATAGCATTGAAATTGGAGTAAATCGTAGGAGCCATTTTTTAAATCATATCTTGCGCAATCTTTACTCATATTATAGTATATATTAGTAACCAAGATGTGACATTAAAAAAAATACTTTAAAACAACTGCCCAGTGAAAACTAAAACTAACTTTATTTTCTATCAGTTAGTTTTTCAACTAACTTATAACTTCTATCAGTTACTATTTACGGGACTAACTTATAACTTCTAACTAGTTAGAATTTTTGAATAACTTTCCCAACTATGGCCGTGACCGCGAGTCATACCGACGATCACGCCGTGATTGTTGAGTTTTACCGATGATCGCGCCGTGACCGCGGAGTTATGCCGACGATCGTGCCGTGACCGCAAGTCATACCGACGATCACACCGTGATCGTTGAGTTTTACCGATGATCGCGCCGTGACCGCAGAGTCATACCGACGATCATGCCGTGACCGCGAGTCATACCGACGATCACGCCGTGATCGTTGAGTTTTACCGATGATCGCGCCGTGACAGCAGGGTTATACCGACGATCGTGCCGTGACCGCGGAGTCATTTCGACGATCGCACCGTGACCGCGATTGACAAGTTTCTATAGCTGTACATTCTTACCCATTTTTTTGTTTTTATAGATCAGTGCCACAAATGGTAAAAATGGATTTTGTTTTTCTTGTTTGGTAACTGCAATACTCAAGACTTTCTTTTAATGCACAGGAAATAATCCCGTCCCGTCCCGAAAATCGGGAAGGAAATAAAAATCCCGTCCCGAACCAAAAATTCAATCCCATCTATCCCTAAATAATTGTATACTGAAATTGGTGAGATAGGATTTTATAGGACCTAAAGAGGATTTTTGATATTATTTGTATTCAGATTGTTAGATATTCAACTCCAAAATTGAGTGGTGTTTATTTTAACTAAAAAACTGTTTAAAAGTGAACTGACATCTAAAACTCACACCAGGATTCAAGAAGAGATCGAGTTGCTTATGCAGCAAAACTTGGTTTTGCTGATTGCCGAGACAGAAGTTTTGCAGAAACTCGTGAGCGAGGGCCATGAGTTTGTTCATACGAACGTCTTCCTTTGCATCATAAGGGACCTGTAGAAGGTCCAAAACCACGGTGTGAACTCCTGTTAAACAGCAAAGAAATAAACATTATTTATATTTTATTTCAGTAGCATGAAAAATACTGAATTGGTAAATATCTTGCTCAATTATTTTCAGTTTGTTAAACATTAATTCAATATAGACTATTGTGTTAAAATGTAAAATGAAACTAAATGTTTTGTTTAGTAGAACTGAATGACAAATTTAGTTTACAGTGATGTACAGTTTAAATTGAGTGGTTACTATATTTTCATTGCCATGGAACAGGTGTGAACAATGATGTTTTTATGTAAAATTTCATATTTTAATTTGTTGTCTCTTTTGTTATAGCCTCATGATTCTAGATGTCACTGCTGTTTTACTGTTACCAATGCTTTTCACGCTGTTTGTTTTAATAACACCAACTGTTTTTTTTTTCATTGTGTTTTTAAGTCTCAACTTGGCTCTTTTCCCTTCTTTTGGATTGTTTTGTTCTTATCTCTTTTTTGTTGCCCCCAACTTCTTTTAAAATTGTCAATCATATATTTTTTTCGGTGTATTAAATCTTGTAATTAATTGTTAATAATTAAGTTGTTAGTTTTTATTCAACCTGCTTGTAGCTTGTCATCTTGTTAATTGTAAAATGCATGTACTGAATTATGTTATCATTTTGTAAACTGGTTTATGTCGTGAATAAATGAATTGAATTGAATCAAATTGAAATAAATAATAACTAAATTTCTTGTGACAAAAACATTTTACTTCTGTTATTGTTATAGCCTTAGAGTAATGTACACTTCAACACAATAATATTTCTGCAGTGGGCAGATTTTTTCTTAATTTTGCAAAATGAAAACGCTGTTAGCAATCTGTATAGTTTCCTAAATTTTTACCCTATATTTCTCAAAAAGCTTACAAATAATAGGATAAACTAGGTTTCCCGCTGACTGCCTCCTAATTATGGTGCAATAAGATCATTTGTCAGTTGTTAAAGATATTTTGTTCATTGCCTCAATAAAAGATGTTTGTATTAAATATCTAACTGAATCAATGTTCATAAAAGTAGTAGTTATAATAGTAAGGTTTACGACTGACTAAGAATCCCTGAACTTACCTACGTTACGAAGCAGTCGCTGTTCATGCTTACGAGGCTTTGGAAGCTGTCCCGGTCCTCCAGGTGTTACACACAGCTTGTTCATTCGGATCAAAATCTGTTGAATATGATGTATAATAATAAAGTATAATAATAGTTTAAAAAAAGTTTGAATTTTAATTTAAAACTATTATTAATAAAATAACTATCAAGAATTACATTACAAGGTTGCAAAAACAAAAAACAATCTCCTCTACAGTAATTTATAAGTAGGGGTGTGCGATGCATCGAAAATGCATCGAAATTTCGATTCGATTCGATGCATCGAATCGCGATTCGATTCAGTGGTGGTCAAAAAACGATTCGATTCACGAGGGAGTCAGTATCCATATACGAAAAACGCCTGCAGAAAGTCAATGCAATACCCGCAATACAGGAGCGCGTTGCTGTTGCGTTTCCTTTACGAAGGCGTTTTTATTTAATACATTCTTTGCATTAAATATAGCTTTAATTGTTTTATATTTTTTTGTTTTGACATTGCAAATGATTAGAGGTTTTGTTTTTTGTCTTGATGTAAGCAGTGTGTGAAATATTTTACTACTGTGAACCTAGCCAAAACAAGGTAGGTTACTCCAAAATCATTTTAAAAATAAGTCTGAAAAATTGTTACTTAATACTTAACTAGTAAGATCAATGTTATAGACTGATACATTTGGTATTTTTGTTAGGTGTCTGTCGGTCCCCGTCCCCGAATTTTTGTTGGGGCAAAAGAAAAAAAAGAATAATTTATTTCCAAAGAAACACTCTTATATTAATTATATCTATTACAGAGGAATTAAAATGTTCAAATGAGAATTAAAAATTAAGTTGGCTCACGACCTTTAAGAATAAAGACACAACAGAGCAATTGCCGCACTGCCACTAGCCAGAGCCAGGTCTAGTCGTCTACTGATAAGAGTAACAAGACAAAAGCCGTGACGCAACACTAACAGTGCAAAGAAAACAAAGTCAAAAGAATAGAAAGACTATTTACCCAGACATACTAGTATAATCATTTATTGTTCATTCAATACCTAATTAAAAATATATTTTAGTATTTTACATAACAAATTATAAACAAAAGAAATATCTGATATAGTGAACAGATCTGTATCTTGGTTAAATGGGGTTAAAAAAATATATTTCTAAGATCCAATACAATATTTACAACTCACAAATTACATTGAATTAATTTCTTTGAAAATAATCTCTAATAGTTTTGTGTTTTTGAATAAAGAAATATATTTCTTTGTCTCTACTTCCTTGTTTCATCACTTGCATTTTGTCAGCAATTGGAATTGAAGCAACTGGGTAGCAACCGGGTGGTGTAAGAGGGGAGGGGGAGGGTCTATGACCTTGAATTCACACATCGTTGCCCGGGCCTGGCTGGTGAGACTGATTCATTGTTTTTGTTGACATACTACTACCCTTCCTTAAGAGAAAAAGGCCCTGCTGTTCCAAAAACATTGAGGGTAGTTTAAAAACATTGACCTGTGTTGCCAAGGGCACTAGAAGATAGCATTTAACTTTCTTGTCTCTTGATTTAATATTATTTTAATCTTCTATATATTATTATTTAAGAGTTACTTTTCGGGTACCTAATTAGTTGTGATATTGTTTAGCTTCATTTTATGGATTTTTAATTCTTTTCATTCATTAGCTATCAAAATCAGTTGTTTTAGGATTTTAATCTCTTGCAGTACCGGTAGGTCTATACTACTGTATGACATGATATGCATTTTTTAGTCCTTATTAATTATACCATAAACAATGTTTGTATGTTATTTACTGTTTTTGAGTTTTATAGGAAATTAGTTTACACAATATCTTTTCTTCAATGAGTTCTCCACTTGACATGTTGCTTCTAGCCTATTACTATTTTAGGCCCTATAAAAATAATGCCTATGTAAAGCTGTAGGCTACTGATGCCAATAATAATTCTTTATTTATGATGATGTAACAAATAATGTAAGTGTGAGGTTATTATACTAAGGAGGTTAGGAGGCAGGGAATGAATGATACATGTTGCATGGTGGAAACATATTATTTTTATTTTCTTCTTGCTTGCAGTCCTGAAGCCGGTCCACAGGCCCTAAACTTGTGATATGTAAATTTATTTCTTAATGGTCTTTTTATATTAAGTTCCATTCAAATTTGTTGTAATTTAGCTACCGGTACCTATTTAGTTATTTAAACAGTTATTAAAATGAGAATGAATGTCTTGATAAAAAAAATATTTTCTTCTTTCTTGCAGTTGAGCCAATTCCAAGTAAAAATTATGAAATAGGCAAGTAAAGCAGCTCACTGGTATTTCCAGCAGTTATTCTAATACATATGATTGAAAATAAATATTTTTTCACCTAAAATTCATATGTAAGTATGAATAGGCCTAATACCACATCAACAAAAATTTGTATTACACAAATGTGATAAATTTTAATTATTGTTAATCCACTCAATTGACAATTATGAATAGAAAAATACCGTATTGCTTCGAATCGAGTTGCATCGAATCGAATCGAAAATCTTTTGAATCGAATCGTTGCTTCGAATCGAACATTTTTTGCTGCTTCGCACACCCCTATTTATAAGTAAAGAAAAAAAGTAACTGGAATATTTGAAAAACTCGAAAACAGTAAAAGTACCGGTATCAGAAAGAATTAGATAAAAAATGATTTTACTTTTAGATGGTAGGAAATTTCCAAGATAAAGACAGCCTAGGGCTAGGGTCACACGACGAGGCTTGCGCAGTTGAGCCGTGTGTTCCAACAACAAATTGAATCAAATGGGTGGCCCCAAGCAGCAATTCTACGAGTATAAGATGTCAGGAGGATAGTTAGAGATGATGCATTAACATTAGTTCAAGGCCCATTGGCAAGTCAAAAAGTATACTTATCAAGAAGATAGAACAAGGAGATTATTTTGTTAGGTTAACTTATTGCTGATATAACTTTCTTGGGAAAGGTTCAAACTTGTGGATAGTAGTTTAGTTACGTTAGTATAAAACAACTAATATTTAATTCTTCTCCATGACTAAGTGGTATGCAAAATATGTTTGTTTTCTGAAGTGATATTCCAGGAAAATAGGTTGGAAAACATTGCTTTAGAGGAGAGGAATCTTTGACTGAGTAATATTTTTAACACCTTTACGCATCATTTTACTCAGGTTCCACACTTTGTATTTTGGATTAACATCTCTTTGGTATAAAAGTGTGAAGATAACATATGGTAAGTAGAAATAACTGTACCTGTTGTATTTTCCTATATTCTTCTGCTTGATCACTATGAAGTGGAGGTCCCACATCTAAATCAACAGCTGAATTTTGTTTTCCCACCTGCATAAAAATTCCTATTAGTGTATTAGTTCAGTAAATATTTCCATACGTTCCTTTGAAGCATGTAGTTTTTTATACAAATAGTATGGACAAAGAAAGTTTAGATTTTCATCTAAATTTGTGTCAAACTGGACTCACACTCAAAATTTCCAGTTGTCACACATCTGGTGTTAAATATGGGTGATATTTTAAAACAAAATATCTTATTAATTATCTTGGTTAATTAGAAAACTATCAAAACACTCTACACAATAGCACTAATTAATCAACGTGAATTCACACTAACGCATTATTTGCATTGTTGCGTTGGATGAGTCTATTCACGCTGAAGAGGAGGAGGGAAGGAAGTAGCATCGTCGACAGCAAAAAGCATTGTTGTCACATATTGCAAAACTGATCAGTAAATTTAATTTACTCCGTCTGACTTTACCAACTCCAGCTAACTCCACCAGTCCCTTTCTGTAAACAACTACTTTCTGGTCTGGAAAGAGTACAGAAAGAAGCTGCTTACCGTGTATTGTGGCAAACAATGCATTACGATACAGATATTTGTTTTCCACATGAAAAGTTCAATGGGAAGAAATTAGCTCAAATTTTCTGCTTTATGAATCTAAAAACAGGTATGAGTTAGGGTATTCCGTGTTTTGGAAGAGACTAAAATATCAAAAGATTGGTAATATTGGTAAAATATTAGTTGGCGGTTAGTCTACACGTCTAAGATAGCAAATAGCTTATGTTATAAACTTGTTACTTGTAGTATGAAGAAAAGTATCATACACAACTCATCGAGGTATTTAGGGTTCTGCATGAAATCCTGTGTTTGGCAAGCCTCGCACGGGAACTGTCATGTTCATACAGTAAACACCTACTTTCTGCCCTATACTATTAAATAAACAGTTATACAAATAATCTATATTTAATTTTTCAGAGGATAGTTTATTTTACCTGTGAGAGATTGGGAGCAGAACTCTTAACCTCTCCGCCTCCTTCATCATCATCTTCCTTGGCTTTCTTCCCAGCCTCCTCACTGCTGCGTGACTTGTACACCCACAGTTCACTCTTCTCTACCGACTGACGTAGGACATCTAGGTCAGATTTGATCTGCTTGTAAGATTCTACATCACTGTCAGAAACGAGAAGTTGGACCTGAAATTAACAATATCAATCTGGTCATCATCATCATCATCATCATTATTATCAAGGGCGACCTTGATGTATGATGTGCGTCAGCTGCTTGGGTTTTTTGCACTCCCCTGAAATCCTCTAGAAACTTAAACCAATATCTGCAGAACAGACAAATTTACATGCCTCCCTTGATTAGAGCTTCCTGAGGAATTTTTTGTCCCTTCGTTAACTTGGTTATTATATTTTGTTAAACTGCAATAGAATAAAAAAAGATATCCTAAAGAATTCCCAGGAGCTGCACCCACCCACGTCAAAATAAAACAGGCAACATAAAGTTCACTCCTAGTGAACTAGCCACTAACTGCTGATAAAAAAAAACTTTAAAAGCCCATTATTTTCAAAATTCAGAATACACATAACCGTTGTACGCAGAGAATGTGCCTATACGCTACACCAATGACCTATCTTGGCCATCTGCAGGATTGTCACGCCTAAACTAAATGTTGCATAACCAATATTTTAACAATGAATTGTTAAGCAGGTCCTACAAGTTGGATGTGTCAGGGATTAAAAAGATATTCCTACATTCTTTTATTCTTTTACTGATGTCTCTTCTCTTGTTAGCAGAAAAACTGATTAGGCATAGAAATTCAGGGAAGAGAAGAAGGCATTAACAAGCCAGTTACTGTTTTCATTACCTAGATAAGCTGCACGTCGACTATATATTAGAAGGAACACTGTTAAACCAAACAGGAGCACAATAATATCTAGGTAGATGCTGCACTCTATTGATCCAGGTTTTTAACTTTGTGCAGTTTTCTTTCTGCACAGTTTTTAAAATTTTGAATACCATCTAAAGTTACAATCTAAACTTGGCGCACAGTATATTTTGTGAATCAAACATACCTCTATAATGTTTTATTTTGATTATAGTTGTTAAGTCTGTCAATCAGATGAAAGCAGTTAGTACCATCTTTTTTGTTTTAGGTTTGAGTGTAATAAGTTTATAGCACTCCAAGGTCTTGTTTCATGGTAGAGGCTAACTGTTTCTATACTTTTTTTTACTTTTTGGAAAACATCTTTTGTTTTAGCCCTCTGGATAAATTAACTTCTGATATTTCCAAGAAAGCCCCCAGCAAATACTGATAGCACAAATAGATCACAGGACAAATGAAAGGAAGAAACATAAACCTAAGCTTTTAGAGGGCTACTAATTTTATCCATACCTGTTTGAATGCCTGAAGCACCTCCTGGCGCTGACTAAAGTGACGGAACAGTAGATGAAGTGCGCCAGACACCAAGGGAGGGTAGTCGTGCATTGTTAGGTGTAACAGGACTCTCAGAAACATTCTACCTCCGTGGCCATCCAAGTCAAGGGCAGCACACTCGTCACTGAATCAAACCAATCGCTTTACTACTAGGTTACTATTAGATCACTTTAATTTTCAGTACAGTAATCCCACTGTCTGGCCTAAACGGATGGCCGGTAGACCGCATTTATGAATAAGCCGGACCATTTGAATGGGTGAATTAGAATGACAATTGGTGAACATCGAGACAGCTACAGTTTCTGCAAAAAGTTAACAGCAACAGAGCTGACTAGGGGTCTGCAGTGCACCAAAAAAGTCGGTACGTTATGGCTTAATTACTGCCATCGGTTCGGTACAACATTTTACTAGGTACAAAATAGGTTCGGTACAGCCTATGATCAATTAATTACTTTCAATTCACTATCATAGTCAAAAAGTTGTTTTTCAAGTCAAACAGTAAAATTATAATAATGAGACAAGCCAGATTGCACAGTAGAAGTGTTCACACAATATGATCAGACAGCAAGCAGCCGCAAAGTAAACAAGAGTTGATTAAATGGGTTATCAAAGGAATATTAAATATAAATTTATTCGGAGAATTATTATGTACTATGTTGTTTCATTACATTCTCTTGTTCTTTTTTTGTTATTTTAGTTTATATGTGAATTAAATCATTGTCAAACATGATAAGACAACCGATAAATATAATAAGACACAGGGACACAATCAATTTGCAGATTGCTAAACACAGTAGCCTAGCAGCCGACAAAGTCAGTTACGAGGTTAGAACGGTACTTCATAGTCTTCAGCATAGATTAAATATACTCCTCAGGTAGGAGTGTCTCATTCGGCATAATCCCAAGTGTTTTAATTCTCTATAAAATACAGGATAGGAATTCTCATTCTACCTACTTATAAATTATATAAGCCAATACACACAGTCAATGTTTCAAATAATAAAATACTTTGTCTTAACGATTATGTAACAACATATCTCACCTGTTGCCAAATATTCCTTCAGCTTGGGTGCCAATGAGCTCGAGATCGATGGCCTTTTGTCCCATGTTAACGTCCCCTGATGATTTGTCCGTGCCATCAAACTCACGTTTGAAAATAGAGAGAAGACAGCTGATGCGATAATCCAGCCGTACGTCCAGGATAAACTGAAATTAAAGAAGTGGTCTTGAGTTCAAGGCATTCTATTTGGGAAAACTATTAACAATCAAGTACTTATTAAATTAAATAGAAGTATCATGCAATTCAAAACTAAACGATTCAACACTGAATAACTCTTATAGCAAAACACAAATTGTATGACCACTTTTTGTAGTTGGTTTAGTCAGCTTAACCCCATAAATGTGATTTCACAAAGTTATTATCAGGATGCTTGAAACTTAGCAAAACCTTTTTGTTTTTGCCAGTCAGATGTCGTAGAAGTCAATAGAAATCAATGAATGAAAACCTCACAGCAACGAGATATTTTAAATACAACCAAAAATATAAATATATTTTATATTTTTTATTTTTATTTTTTTGATATTTTATTCAAAAAACTTGAATTTTATGGTATTACAGGTAAAACTTTAAAAATTTTAAAATCCTATTTAACTAATAGAAAGCAGTATGTATCTGTTGGAGGCTGTCAGTCTAACTTAAGATTGGTTGAAGTAGGTGTTCCACAGGGCTCGGTTTTGGGACCCTTCTTGTTTTTAATCTTGATAAATGACCTGCCGAGGAATGTTGATGTAGACACTGTTGTATATGCTGATGACACAACTTTGATTGCAACAAATAGAGATATCCATGAGCTTGATTTAATTACTAATGAATCAATAATCAATAACATCAGCACTAAATTGGTCTTCTTAAAATAAATTGACATGTAATCAAGAAAAAACACAGAAAATTCTTTTGAGTCTATCCCCACTTGACAATGAATTAAAATCTGTAAAATTATTAGGCTTCCAAATTGATTCAAAATTAAATTGGCAAGAGCACATAGAAATCACTTGTAAAAAAATTTCCAGAGTAAATTATCTAATTTGGAAACTCTAATTTGGATTTTGTTAGTAATGAATACCTTCGGATTACTTATTTTGGTTTTTTCAATCTCATATTTCTTACGGGATTATACTATGGGGACACTCCCCCCACACCCATGAAATTCTTTTATTACAAAAAAAAGTCATACGAACAATCTGTGGGGCTGGCCCTGTGGATAGCTGTCAACTTCTTTTTATAGACCTTAAAATTATGACCGTTGTAAATTTGTATATTTTTCACATACCCCTCTACACTTAAGCCAATCTTCATCAATTCACTTGTAGAGAGAGTATACACTCTTACAATACAAGAGGCAAATCCAATCTAGATATCCCTGCTCATAGATTGGCCAAAACAGATAACTGCCATAAAATAAATTGCATACGGTTTTTTTAATAAATTAGGTCTGGCAGCAAAACAGGTTCCTTTTAATAGGTTTAAGTCTAAAATGTTTGAGTGGCTCATCCAAAATCCATATTACTGTATAACAGAGTACTTAGTTTCTGATGTTAATATTAATTTTTAATTAGAACCCACTGTATTTTATAGCTTTAGTTTTTATTTCTATTGTTGACTATGTCTATTCCTTGTAAAAGGTCAATGACAATAAAGATCTTGATTCTTTAAAGGATATTAGCCTACACACAGACAAGTAGCTATCAACAATGAAATATTAACTTTACTCTGTAGTGAGTTAAATCTTAACTAAAAAACAAAAGTACTCACTTGTAAAATTTCTATGATTTTGAGTTTAGTGTCCATGACGAGTGGGAACTCTTTCTTGAGCTGGTTGGACTTCTTCTGTACAGCATTGGGTATGGACGCACGGTTGATGCTGGTGGCACCGAGAGTAAGTCCTGTGACAACGGCACCCATGTCTCCAATGCTACGCAAGACTCCTCCCTCGGCTAAAACGAAGAAAACAGAAATATTTAATGATCTTCTGTAAATAATTTGTTCCAACAAAACAGTATACAGTTTTGTACCTCTTTTAACCACACCCCGTTAAAACAAAACCCAGGTTAAATGAAACCATAGACGAAATTTAAATCAATTAGAAAATCAGTTAGGTAACGTCTTGTCTGCAATGGTGTGGGTAATTGGCCAAAAGAATGCAAGAGAACAGATGACGACACAGACTCATACCGTGATTCAGAAAACAATTGTTGATTATTTAAGAAATAAATTTTGTGTATACAGCTGCAGATTTTAAGGTGACGGTAATTAAAATTATAAAAACCCTACGGTTGTAGATCTCTTTATAAAAATTCTCTCTGTTGTAAAGAATAATAATATTCCTTATGTGAGAAGTTAACATATACAACAAAAGCAATCCATAAACTGTTTTCATTGATAAAACAAATTATCTCATATTATGCAGTAATATTTAATTTGAGAGTGAATGCAGAAAGAACTTCTTATAAAACTTAAAATAAAAATCAATTTAAGTAATATGGGGATACAATTTTAGTCATACTATATTACTCCACTAAATTAGTTTGTTTTAAAATAAAAACAAAAACCGAAACCACAAATTACAAGAAAGTAAACTTAGGAAAGAGAATCCAGCACATATAAACAACAAGAATACACCAACATACACTGTGCAACATTAATATTATTTACACATGCATACAATATTCCCAGAAAAGACAATACGAAAATAGACACGGAGAGTTAAAACTTTCTAAGTTAAATAACACACAAGGTGAAAAAAGTATCTGAAGAAGTGAAGTGTTTATTGTAGCAATTTATAAAGTGCTAGAAGTTTCATAGAATATAGTAGAACCTTTGACTATTAATACAACTAGACATTCCATCCCCATGTTGAATTTGTAGCCAGATTTTTTATCAAAATCGTCGTAGTTGATGTGAGCCACATACAGATTGCTCTGATCTAAATTACTAAATTATGTCAAATACACAAACTTTTTTACCAAGTCAAACTTAGGGAATGACTTATGATGAGTTAATTCCATGAGTCCATGAGTTATAGCAACTGTTCGACCCATCAACCTGGTCAGCAAAAAAATAAGGTATTAAATAGAATTTTAGACATTAGCACATTCTATGAATGGCTCACACAACTACGTTCTTTTTAATAAAAAATTGGCTACAGCTGGTCCATATAGATGGGATGTATACTTCAGTATCCAATAGTCAATGGTAGAACAGAGAATACTAGGATATATTAAGAGTACAAGAAAATATAAACTTAATTGAGTTTTGTCACGACACCAAATGCACTTAGATGCAGACTTTTAATAGAATGGTACTTAGAGGATAAGCATTCACGTAATCTGGCTCCCAATTCCCATTCAAACTAACAAAATGCTTGTATTTGTTTAGTTTCGAATCACAACTGAAACTAAATACCAAATCCCACAAACTTTTATAGTAAACTAAGGTCGCAGTTATAGTGATTAGGTGTTTTCCTAAAAGTTGAGAGAAAAAAATCACTATTCCCCTCTCTGTTGAGCCATAGGAATTATTCATAGATTTTATTATACAGTTTAAACTCGATATAATGAATCTCAAGGGACTGGACTGAATATTTGTCATATCAAGGATTTCGTAAAAAAGTTTTGTTATATTGAGGTTAGGCTTGCAGGAATTTCACTAAGTCGAGGTTCACAAACAGCATCGGTCAACATAGGTCAAAGTTTAACTTCATAAAACACAATTAGTAGCATAGGCTACTGTAGTTTAAAGTATAACCTCAATTATTCTGAGTAATAGGGGAGAGGGAGACCACCGATAATGAAACCCAATGTCAAGTCCAAGTACATAAAATACTGCTACACTGTGTAGCCTAAAAAGCCATTAATGTCAAATTTGCATTTTTAAATAAATTTAATATTACAATATTGCACAATCACAACTTACCTAAACTAACCAAAAAACTAGATAAATGCCGTGTAGCAATAAATCACGTAAAGAACAAAACACTAGAAAGTTTTGTAAGCTACTGATCGTGGTAGGACAATAGTCTATGAGCACGTGCTGTATCACAACAGAAGAATGTTGATAAGAATAACGGATTAGCATTGGTGTTTCCATAGTTGAAAACAAATCATAAAAACAATAAAACAACAAACAATACAAAAACAAAAACCATCTAATGTTGACAAATTTACTAGTAGGCTGTGATTGGGCGATAAGTAACCATTTAACTTATTGAATTTGTGGATGAAAATAATCCTGAGAAAGAATAGAAGAACTAACTAAGAGAAAGAATAACAACATTGTATCTTAGTTCTTCTTGTTGTGCGTTTTATATTAAGTATGATTACACAGTTGTACAAGGTTACTGTACCCATTTTTACCATGTTCCCCTGACTTTATGAAAAATATATTCAAATACTTTATAAAACAGGGTTTTATGGACGTACCTACAGTTAGGATATGTAAAAAATACCAAAATGATAGATTTCAGGTGCTTCACAAATATTGACAACTTCCACCAAAGCTGTTCTCTGTTTATTTCAGAAGGAATTGTTTATCTTCTCGCACCAAACTTTGCCACAGCAGGTGAATTTTTATTGTTGTGCACAACGGACCTGATTGAGACCATTAAATCATACCTTTGACTATTAATACAACAACTAGACATTCCATCTCCATGTTAAAGATGTAGCCGGGTTTTTAATAAAATTTGTTTTAGTTGATGTGAGCCATCTACAGATTGTGCTGATCTAAATTACTGATTTCTGCCAATTACACGATGGTTTTTACCAAGTCAAACTGATGGAATGACTTATTATGAGCTATGACCCAGCAACTATGTCAGTAACAAAAAATAAGGTACAAAATAGAGTTTTAGACACTAGCGCAATCTGTGACTGGCTCACGCAACTACATTCTTTTTTAGTAAAAAATTGGCAACAGCTGATCCATAGAGATGGGATGTCTTCTTCTGTATCCAATAGTCAATGATCATAATTAATGGCCGGTACATCTTTTTGGATTTAAAGGGTCAGTAATGTCGCTCAATTTTCAAATATTACCCTGCTCATCCCTACTAAATCTCTACTGTATATTTTTTAATTAGTAACACATTAAAAAACACATATATATATATACAGATAGCTAATTTAAAACATCTCAAACAATTCCCATGCACAGTTACCAGTAGTTTCTTCCACATCAATGTCCATGGTCGCTAGAAACATAATTAAATATGACTAATGGTAGTTTTTAACTTAAGCTAAGGCTAAAACATATAACATTTGTATCATATGATTAAGTTTTATAAGTAAACTATAGGTCTGACTGAATGTTACCATTGCCCATTTAACTGGATGAATATCTAGGTCTAGGATAAAGAATTTTTTTTTAGAAATGCTCTAGACCAAGATTTTTAATTGTAGAATTGAGGGGATAGAACAGAAGTCTCCAACCTATGGCCCGCGGGCCAGTTCCGCCCCGCGAATAGATTTTATCCGGCCCGTGAAGACCTACTGGGAAATAATTGCTGAACTTGTATCTCTAGGCGATGAACGATGGTTTCGGGTAGAGATGATCTTTAATAATTGTCACTATTTCCTTAAAACTCTTCTTCGATGGTACGTCGGGCGTGCACAGATCCCGTAGTAAACTATACGTTTTAACACCAGAAACAGTCAATAAAATGCTAAACTTCTTCTCCTCCTTAATATTGTTACATTTGACGAACAGTTTGAATTTTTCTATGTATGAAGACCACGTTTCGGAGTTCTGGTCGTACTCACCGATGCTGCCAATTATCCCAGCCATGTTGGAGTAACCCGACACTTCACTATCTTAAAACAACGTTAATAAGTCTAAGTCCACTTCGTCGTCCGACATTCACAAACGCGTTCGAAATTTACACTACGCGGCACAATCGAACAGTTGCATTGCGCGGTATGTAAATTTGACCGACCTCGTCGCCATTTGTTGTGTTCGTGGGTTGAATTGGACTTAGGAAGTGGACTGAAATGATTACGATAGTTTTACATGTTTAAAACACGGCTACAAACGGGTGGTTAAGGTTTGACTTTTGGAGGTAGACTGGCTGTTGTAGGGACGGACGGACATGGACGGTGGTGTGATGTAGGTGGAGAGGGATCAGGTGATGTTTGTAGCCAATGAGATTTATTGAAAATCATACGATTCACAGTGGCGTGATGTACAAGGAAATCATACAACGGATATTAATATTCTTAAGATATATTACACATATCAAACACGAACCAGGAGTTAATTTTCGAAGCAGCAATGATTCGCATGCAGACAACAAAGAAAAAGGATATCTACATTCTGGGAATCTATAGACCACCAATCGAAAATGCAAGAATTGCCCTTGATCTCCTATCAGACACGCTAGGACTACAAGAAGTACACAAGTAAAACCTCATACTCATCGGTGACATAAATATCGACAGGCTCACCCAAGATTCCAAAAACACCATGCTGGAAGAAGAGTTAACCACACAAAACATCTGGAGATTTCCTCTAGTGGCCACCAGAATAACCCATGACACAGCCACTTCAATAGACTGTATATGCTCAAACATACCATATGCGTATATTACTGGACAAGTTGTGCATACTGGTCTATCTGACCACACTGCGCAGCTGTGCCTGCTGAAAACACACCAAAAAGACACTTCCCAAAGATTTGTAATGAAAAGAAGCATAAACAACACAAACCTAAACAACCTGAAGGCTCACCTCCATCTACAAAATTGGGAACATGTTTGCTCTTCACCCAATCTTGAAACCTCCTACAACAAATTTCATAATATTCTCCAAACAGCACTGGATTATACATGCCCATTAAAGAACACTAAAATTAGTACAAACAAAAAACATATGAAGTACTACGATCCTGAATCCTTGTTCTTCAAAAGAAAGCCATAAGAGCCCTCGCCAACCTTGTCCCACCACAGACTTGCAGACTAGCATTCGCAAACCTAGGAATCCTCACAGTGGTGTCTCTCTACATACTTGAAACCATAAAGTATGTGAATGAAATAAACCCCCCAAGAAACCAAGACCTGCACCACTACAACACCCGTCATGGCTCCAAATTTGCCCTACCAGTTCACCCAACAACTCTTTGGGAGAAAAAAACCTTCCTATACCGGCTGCAAACTGGGGAACCATCTACCTGACTACCTGAGAGACCTGACTGGCAACAAGCTACACCAGGAGTTGAAGAAGTGGCTAATCGCAAGACCCTTCTACTCAATAAAGGAATTTTATGAAAATTATGGAATTTAACACGTACAATTCACTATTGTATTGACACTATTGTAATTCTTAACAAATGAACAATAAAGAATATTGTCTTGTCTTTTCTTGTCTTGTGATTATAGTAACCTGTTGAATGCGTGGAGGGAACCCCAAGAAAAAATGGAAGAACGAAGAGAAAATATAATGATGTTTTTATGTTGTTATCTTTAAATATTTTTTAGGAGTGCTACTATTGTCTTTATGAATGATTTTATACTTATTTATGAGTTATCTAATGCTTTACAAGTTTACAGAATAATTATTTTCAACCACGGGAACATCAGTTTATAATTATCAACTTCCTGGTCCTTTGCAGATTGTATTATCAATGCTAAATAATTGTGGTCAATTCAAATTATATTTTTTAAGATTCAAATCTCCTACACAAAAAGACAAAAGTCAAACCAGGCAAGGAAAAAAATCTGCTATTGTAATCCCCCTGCCCCTACCCAGCCATTTGGGAAGTGGTGAAAGTCTAGTCTGGTCTAAATATAGCTCAAAAGTCAAAGGTCTCACCCTCCCCTTCCCCCCAACCCCCTACACCACTGTTGCTATGCCCGCTCCTTTCAAGGTCATTGCCCAACCCCTCCCTCCCTTCTATTGTTTTGCCTTTATTGTGTTTCTATTCTGACTTTTTTTTAAATAGATTTATTGCTTACGTAACACTTCAGTAGTGGAATTTTCTATTGTGAAACAGTACTTTAAAACAAAATCACTACCGATCATGTCATTCTGTGTCAAGTCCAGATTATGCCATTGCCAGTCAGTCGCCGGCGAGGGTCGCCGGATTTCTACCCCCGGATATTTACCCCCATGAAAAAACGCCTACGTCATTTTGACGTCACGAGGGGCGGGGCTTATACACGTTCGAGAAACAGCCCGCGACTGGAAATCTACCCCCGGACATCTACCCCCGGACATCTACCCCCGGACATTTACCCCCAGACATCTACCCCCCGTGGTCAGCTCTGCCGCGTATCGGCCAATATTCATTGTTGTAATTGATTTTATAAATTGTTTTATGTAAATCAACGGCTCTTTGGTTAATCATTACCCTTTAATATCTAGTATTAAGCATGTGATATGTCATTGCCTTGTTTAACATTATCTATCTTCCTAATAAAATAAGCTGTAACAGCCCTTTTCCACCCAAACTACTTCACTGATATTTATGATTGAGGTGTAATTTTAAATCTTATGATCCTCAGCTCAACGCAAAATGGTATTTAAAACTATATGTTGATAAAGGGCTTCAAAAGTAAGACCCTTAAGGATTTGATTCATTTCCAGAAAGTGATTTAAATGGTTGACAAACTTTCACATACAGTAACAGCTAACGGCGCATGCATGAGCGCGGATCGGAAGTGTTTATCACAAAAGATTGACCAATACGATTTTAATACTATCTTATCTTATCTTATCTGACAGGGGCAGGTCGAGACCTTAAAGCACTTCATCCGAAATCGAATTATTGCGCACCCCAGATACTTAATTGCTTTCTTGTTGACCTACAAGTTGAGGCGCCCAATGAATGCCTGTAGCTTCCCAATTAGTTCATCCTCAGGAAGAAATCTACCTCTAGCCATATTTCCAAGAGTTATCGATCTAGCGTCAGAGAGCTCAATACAATCAAAGAGTAAGTGATCAGCTGTCTCTTCTGACCTATCACAGTACCTACAGATCGGTTCACCATCATATAAGCCCATCCGTTGTAGATGTTTCCTGAATCTTCCATGACCAGTTATCAGTTCAACAATTAATTTAATTCTTCGTCTGTCTAGAATTAAATTTTAATACTATTTAAAGGTTCTTCCAAAAGAAGAGAAACCAGTTAACATTGTAATAATAACTCTTATGACGTACGGCATGGGAAATATTTTATTCATTGAATATGATCAACCATTATTTTGTAACTTATGCAATAGTCATTATTGCTTCTACACTTATTACTCATCAAAAAAGCTAAAGAGCTAAATGCTCAAAATTTTTATTACTTCAATCTATTAATCGCAGTTATATGAATTAGCATAAGCCTTGAAATTAACCGTCAATGTTGACGGGTTTCGCCTAATTCTGTTCTGTATACTACCTTAAAATGCCTCATTTTAACATTTTACTGACAGGACACCTGCTTATTCACTTCCAGATGGTATTCTTATGAATGCGTCTTTTGAACACTTATTTATTGACATAAGTTGACAAGTTTTGTTTTAAGGCAGGATTTTCCAATAAGACTTTATACATTCTCTGAATATGCGAATGTGCTGCAATGGGGGTATTTAGGCGTATATATATATATTAAAAGATATTAGGCTATGCTTAAAAAATTGAATGTGGCCATTATTTTGAATTTTAATAATTGTCTTATTTTAGGTCTTTAAGAGAAAATACTTTAAAATCCTTTCTTCGTACGCATCTAAAATCTTAGAAACTATTTTTTTACTACTCTAGGTGATGTGAAAAATTTACCATTCCACACCTGACTTTTATTGATCCTCTTTCTCAATTTAACAGTTTACAACTTCTTGTCTTATTTTAGGTATTTAAGAGAAAATACTTTAAATCCTTTCTTAGTACGCATCTGAAATCTTAGAAACTAATTTTTTTACTACTATATAGGTGATATGCAAAATTTACCATTATTCACCTGACTTTTATTGATCCTCTTTCTCAATTTAACAGTTTACAACTGAGTTTTGGTTTACCAAACAATTATTACTACTAGGCCTACATTGAATAAACTGGAAGTTCACCACAGTTTATTCACTTTATCCTTTAAGAAATGTGTGTAAAAACAATGGTTCAGTACGATGTAACACTTGACCATGTGAAAAGTACGCAATATTATATTATTTTCATTACTTTTTCATCTCATAATATTACAGTTGCAGACGATCTATTCATGTTTTTACAACCTGACTTAAAAATTGATCTGATGAGTACTACCAAAGATTACATATTTGGTACTACTCACATTTCACTTTTAAACTGTTACTGTATGGTGTAAAAGTTGGTCAACCATTGGAAGCACCTTCTAGGAATAAATCAAAGGCTTTAGGGGTCAACCTTTTGAAGCCCTAATCGAAATATCCTTTCAATTACCATTTTGTGCTGCGCTAGATCTTAAGCTTTTAAAAGGCATCTCAATCGTAAAAGTCAGTGAAGTAGGTTGGGTTGAAAAGGACTGTTACAACTTATTGAATTACAAATATGGATAATGTTAAAACAGACATCGACATATCGCATGTTTACTACTGGATATAAGAAGGTAAAGAAATTTATAAAATAAATTACAACAATGAATATTGGCTGATACGTGGCAGAGCTGACCACGGGGGGTAGATGTCTGGGGGTAAATGTCCGGGGGTAGATGTCCGGGGGTAGATGTCCGGGGGTAGATTTCCAGTCGCGGGCTGTTTCTCGAACGTGTATAAGCCCCGCCCCTCGTGACGTCAAAATGACGTAGGCGTTTTTTCATGGGGGTAAATATCCGGGGGTAGAAATCCGCTACCCCGCCGGCGACTGCTTTGAGTTGACCTATTCTGTTGTGACAGCTATAAAAATAGGTTAGGACAACTATCTCTTGCTTATTTCTACACTGTAGAAATATTTATATTACTGTAGAATCTACAGTAATACAAATTATGAAGCATTTTATGTAAACACAAGTTACATTTTAACAAATATTGTTTTTTTTCAATTTTAAACCAAACTCGACTCCGAAACTGGATAAGCTTGAGTTTCAAGGCCGTACTCGACTCGAACTCTAAATCTCGAGTACTCGCACATCTCTAGTCAAAAGGTTATATAGCAACAGAAAATCAGCAAGAAATGTTCAAACTTTATCGTTGAGCTCTTATTTAGAAAACTACCTCTTTGTGGGTTATTTGGAGGGAAGCTACCTTTCTACACTGAAACGTTGACGGTTCAGGCCCGCATATCCTCCAAAAACTGTCAATGTGGCCCTTGAGTATAAAAGGTTGGAGACCCCTGGGATAGGAAAACACACGTCTCTTCCCTGTGTTCTATAGCTTATCATACTTCATATAAGTAGCTAGCTGCTATCCCATTTATTCTACAATTTAATTCTTCATTAGTTAATTCTGATTATCCACCGCGTAACAGAAACAATTCTGTTGACTGCTCCGATGGAAGTCTGTAACGAGACTGAAACGTCAGATTTCAGTTATACGTCGTGTCTGTGACAAGGTCGGACCATGGTGATTTTATAGTGTTTAAGTTTGTAGTGTTGTGAGAGTGCAATGCTTTAAATTCTTGTTTAAGATGAAAGAAAAATTTTATATCTTTGCCAAACAAGGTTGCAAACAAAATTTTTGGTGAAATTGAGATTTTCAAGGCAATAAAATGCAAATGACATCTTTTACTGCATGGGATATTTCATTTTCAAAAATACATAGGTTAGCATCACTTACAGGCTGTGTAGACATTGGTGCAGCCAGAAAGTTTTTTTGTTTTTCTAAAAATATTTACTTTTGTCACTTGCAACGTTATTCGAAAGAGCTATTCAATTAATTTATTAACCATAAGATATTAAAAAAATAACAGGAACTGGTTATACGACTACAAAATAAAATTTTGAAGCATTAAAATAAATGTTTTATATCTTCGATTAACAAATAATTACCACTCTTCCATAACACAGTTTACGTCTTGTGATCCCTATAAAATCCCTACATGTTTTAATTGTCCTTTAGACATTTTAATATTTCTTCAAAGAGCAGACTATACATACTCACAGTGTATTTCACCTGTGGGGATCTTTCCTTTGACAAAGTCATTTTCAGACACACAGTCGAGAATGGAGAGAAGAGTCTTGGTCAACCGTAGGAGGTCACTGAAGCTGTAGAACCCAAAGTAGATCAGATCTCTGGCCAGTTTAACTACCTGCGGTTCAGCAACATCGGTTACATTTTTCATTTTATAAAATTAACAGTTTTCAACATTTTTCTAACAGGATGTAGGGGCTACTTTACGTTAAATAGTTTACAGTAAATATCAGGGGAGGTAAGATCAGGGTGTCTACTACATTCTGGATAAAAAATTCATGGACAATTCCCGTACATTTAAGGACACTTTGACGTAACCTTTGTCGGTGTCATTAGGCCTACCGAATAATTTTCCTGATTTGTCAAACTGTATTAATCTTGTTATTAACTGTAGTTGTACCAGAGAGAAGAGTAAATAATAATAGATAGCCTTAGAGTTAAAAATTTCAAAATAGAAATTTATTGAAAGTAAACAAGCATAGGCCTACCTATACTTTAGGTAAAACTTTTATAGTGTAACAGAGAAACGCAATCATTGTCTCCTGCGATAGCGACAAATATCTCCATCGGTCACGTTAACTTCATAACATAGCTTATCCGATCCAGGCGGATTAATTTGGCACAACGTTAGGCTCTCGACTACTTTTGAAAAAAAAAATCTTTAATGCATATTGTTGCTCAGTTCTTAGTACAAAATCAAGGTATGGTAAGCGGCTACCAATAAGCAATAAGCACAGAGTAAGATTATTGTATTTTCATTTGCAAAGTTAATACCCCCGCCGCAGCAAACCTGCCGACTAAGCGAATTTCCATTTGTATGAATTGATTTTCAGTTAAATATATTTTAATAACATTAGGTTTAACAAGTACCTAGGTTTGCTGGTATAAGGAAACTAATAAAGTGCGTTTTTGAGTAAAATATTGATAGCTTAGTACAAAATAAATAAATTTGCCAAGTTTGATCAAAATATATTCATAAACAAGCAAACTACAACATTTGACAATATTCTCCATAAGAATAACATGGGAATTTTAAATTTAAAATTTTTTTTAATTTTCTCCGTTACTAATAATCGAACAAAAATACTTTTATATACTAAATTATTTGTTTTTTTAAGCTCTTTAAAAAGGTCTAAAGAGAAATTGGAAAAATTTGTGTTTTGAGGGTCAAAAGTGAGAAAAACCAATTTTTACCCCATAACACCCCCCGTAAAGCCCCGTTCCCATGGTCCGATTGTGCTGGATCGCGAACTCATTCAAGTTTACCCCGCTTTACACCTTTAAACCAAATTTCATCAAAATCGGACAAAAATTACTCAAGTTATCGCGTTCACGGACGTATATATATATACATATATAAAAATTTGAACGAATAGTGATTTTGGCCTCTGGGGACATCAAAATGAAAAAGTAAATCGGTCCCGGGTCTAGGTCTTACCGTGACACCTACGGTAATAGCTACTTCCCTATAGGGAAATTCGCTAATATCGACACATAGCAATCATTAGTTGTTTATCTAGGCTCAATTACATTTTCTTAATATATTTTACAGCTCTTTCAAAAATCAAAATACCCAGGCCTAGGCCTAATTATTTAGGAGGGCCTAAATAAACTGGGTAACAAACAATGAGGTTATAATAGCAGCAAAGTCACTATCATCATTCTAGTTCTTAAGATTTAGATTGCTTAAAGCATACAACTCAATAAATAAATATATGGGAAACAAAAAACATTGAAACCTGAATAGCCAACAATATAAGGCAAAGATACAGAAAATGCAATGACATAATTTGAAACCAAGCAGGCCTACATAGTGATAAAACATTAATGCAAATAACAATGCTTGTGGTTTTGTCAATTGAAAGATAAAATATCCATAAAAAAGGGGTTAACTTACAAAATAAGACTATAGATTATTTACATGTTTAATATGAAACTATAAACAGTTTTATGGCACTAGGCAATGGCCGCGGCAAAATGAATCTTCAAGCCAAGTACAAGTAAGAAGTGAAATTTAACAGCCATTATAAAGCTATTATTTTCACGATAAAATAGGTTTGGGATCTCATAATAATTCCTCATAATATAATCTCATAATAAGCCCTAGTAATAAAAAAAGAAGTTGTAAAGGAATAAAAGTGATACAACTTTTATGAGCTAGCTAACTGAGTCAACAGTTCTTGGAAGTACTTGACTTGACACTTGATTGTCGTGATAAAATATTAATGGGTTTGAGATTGTTAATGGGATTTTTATTGCATAATTACTCTAGTAATAAATTATGAAAATGTAAACAAACATCTGATAAACCTTTTATGTGCTCCTAACCAACTAGCGATCAATAAAATTATGGCCCATTAAAAATTTAAGGACATAGTCTGGCATTTAAGGACAATTCCGTACATTTCATGGCCAGTAAAAAATTAAGTACAATTCCCGGTTTTCCCGGATTTCCCGGTTGGTAGACACCCTGTAAGATATGTGCAAACGTTTGGATGACACTGTCAGAGAGTAAAGTGAAATGTAGTATTCTCATTGGCTGCAGTATTGTGGTATATGTTTTGTTTAAGAAGATTACGTATAGTACATGATTAGGTGAGAACTAGTTTTCTGCACATTTCCCTTATGCCTTCACCTTGTTATCATTGTTTTAGGATTTTTTGTGAGGATAGCAGGACTAACACATGTGCAATGACTTTGGGCAATTGAAAAGCATCATTTGACCAAAAATAACAATGAAAAATGTTACACCCGTGTGCTCTATGTTGCATCCTTATCATTATTAGTTATACTAATATTCTGTAACTAGAAGCTTTTATTTTCAGTAAAATAGTGAAATAGTGATTTTCTCATCCCTCAAAATCTTGGTGAAAGGTCGGTTGAAATGGGTTAAAGGTTTACAACTTCAAGTAAGATTGATTGATGGAGCAATGGTTCTGCGATGATGAAGAACTGAGACAGACGAGATGACAATTCCTAAAATATTCATGCCTATTTACTTTTACTGTGTGCGCTTCGGTAATTAAATAACTGCTTGAATTAAATTTGTATGCATCCCTTCAAGTATTTATTCTTAACTATTTTTCAGTGGGATATATCATTAATAATCTTTGTAATTAAAATCACAAGGCATGATGGACCAAGTTATTATTGGAACAGAAAATATAACAATTCAGACCTCAAATGTAAGCTTGTTTTGAGACTGGTCCGCAAATGTCCACATCTTAGCAACAACATTGCACAAATAGTCTTCCACAAACAGGATGGTTGAACTGAACTTTGCTCTCACAGCCTCTTTGTTTGGGTCTGGGGTTCTGTTGTTGTCGTAGCTGAAATACAAAATTTAGGATAACAGAATAAAACTAAAACATTTACTATGGCACATAAAAGCTGTGTGCACATAAAGCACATAATTCATAGTAAACGTGAATTTTACCAGATGACTTTTAGAAATAAGCATTTAAAAGAAAAATGCTATCATTTAAAATGCTATCTTGAAATAACATTGTTTGGAAAAATATATTTTTCAATATAAATCAAAAAGTATTTTGCTGTTTCTGTAAAAACTAATAAATGTAAACTTGTTTTGAATCCATCGTCAAGAGTTCCAAAATTACTAACAAACTAACTATACAAATTTATTAAACGTTATTACAGTACTCTCTCTCATTCAAATTCAGTTGCTTCGGACTTTGGATGGTTTGAAAAACCACCTGTGCATGATATACACATGATATACGTGAACAAACAAGTTACCTTTAATTCTTCAAGCTCTGTTTATTACGTATATATTTTACTACAATGTTCCTAAATTTTAAGCATGATACTATATAGATTATTATTTTGCACACATAACGTGTGCCTGATTTTGAGACATATTAATTCATTTTGGACTATCTGGTGGTTTTGAATTTTCTAGATCAGAAAAGGGTCCAGATTCAAGATGAGATAAGCAAAGAAAAACTTATCTAGGTACTGTGATAAAAATCAATAAACCAACAGTCAACACCTTATTTTCTTTTTCTTCTCCTACCTTGACATCCCAGAATACCAAGTACTACCCCAGGGCCATTTACACATTACTTCAGGCTAGGCCTAAAGAGGTACAGATTCATAAATCACATGTTGTAAATAAAGACAAGAGTAACCAAAATGTGGCTTTTATTCATTATAAAAATCAGCCATAATGTTGTTGTTTACAAAAACTCTAAAACATTAATATACAAAATAAAACATATGATTAAGAAACAGGCTTTAAACATTAAATATCATCACATTCTCCCCCACTAGTTTTTCAAATAGGTGTAGCAGACATAATCTTTAAGATAGGCTGGAGGTCTGGCATTTCTCCTTGGACGATTCCAATCCAAGGGCATCTCTTCAGCTGGAGCTCCAGATGATGTTGGATCAGGATTGTTTTTTGTTTCTAGAACTTCCTGTTGATAACAATCGTCAGCATTGAACTCGTGATCATCCTCACGTTGATCGTTTGTACACTCATCAGATCTATTCTCACTAGTTGGTAGTCCAGCAGGCGCGAGATGCGTTAGTGATACTTGGGACTCGGAACCATCTTCCCTCCTAATTAAAGCATATTGAGGATTTGCTTCTAGGAGATCTACTCGTTCTACCAGGTCATCGTATTTACTTGTACGGACATATTTCTTCATCAATACTGGACCAGGGCTAGTCAGCCACGAAGGTAGGGATTCTCCATTAGTGGTTCTGCGACTATGATTGAAAAATCTCTCATGAGGTGTACAATTAGTCGCAGTACACAATAGGGATCTGACAGAGTGAAGTGCCTCGCACAGCACATCTTCCCATGAGGTAACTGGCAGGTTATGTGTTTTCAGTGCAAGAAGAATGGTTCTCCATATAGTTCCGTTAAATCTTTCAATCTGGGAATTTCCTCTCGGGTTGTATGGAGTTGTGCGACTAGTTGCCACTCCGTAGTTGTGTAGAAAATCTGTCAGCTCACGTGACATAAATGAAGCTCCTCGATCAGAGTGTACAAAGGCAGGAGCCCCAAACATTGAAAATAGATCCACAAAACAAGCAATTACTGTTGCAGAACTCATATCTTTACAAGGATATGCAAAAACAAATCGCGAGTACTCATCCACCATTGTTAATAGGTATCTATTCCTGGTCTTTGATGGCAGAGGACCTTTGAAATCAATGTTCAGTCTTTCGAAAGGAGTCGTAGCCTTTATCAGTTTCCCTTGAAAACGATGGAATCTTGGCTTTATTTCAGCGCACGTTTGACACGCAGATGTCATTCTTTTGACATCGTCGAGAGAGTAGTTTAAGTTTTTATTCTTTATCCAATGAAACATTCTGGTAATCCCTGGATGACACAGGGATTTGTGGAGTTCAAGAAGTTTTGCACTATCTGAGTGTACCGAACATACTCGTGACAATGCATCTGCCTTTTCACTATCTTTTCCAGGGCGATAAACAATGTCGTACTGGTAAGGTGCAAGTTCAAGGCGCCATCTCATTACTTTGTCATTTTTTATTCGACTTGTATGCCTCCTATCAAACACAAACGAAAGAGCTTGCTGATCAGTATACAGTTTGAATTCTCTTCCAATGAGGAATGGTTTCCATTTTCTGAGGGCTTCAACGATTGCAGCGGCTTCCTTTTCAACGGCCGGATACAATTTCTCAGATTTATTTAAAGTCCTGGAGAAAAAAGCTATCGGTCTATTATTTTGACTTAAGGTTACTGCCAGAGCTACATCTGAAGCGTCCGTTTCCACCACCAGCGGTTCTTGTCCATCTCTTGGTGTAATAAGTGCATTGGCAATGTCTAGCTTCAGACTTTCAAAGTCTCTAACTGCTTCATGTGACAATGGGAATGACCTAACTTGAGTCAGATTCCTTATTCTGTCTGAAAATCTGTGGATCCATTTCGAATAATGGGCGAAAAATCCCAAAACTCGCTTCAATGCAGTCTGATCCTTTGGTACTGGAAGTTCCACGAGTGATTGTAATCTATCTGGATCAGGGCGGATAGACTTATAGGAAACCAAATTCCCCAACAGTGTAATTGATGTTTGATTGAACTTGCTCTTTTCTTCATTTATTACTAGTCCATACTTGTTCAGAGCTTCTAAGAATTTTCTTAAATTTGTATCATGGCCCAATTGGTCCTTCCCACAGACAGTCAGATCATCTAAATAAGCATAAACACCCTTTAAATTTTCTTTTTCTATAATCTGATCCATAGTCTTTTGGAAACAGGCCACTCCATTAGTCACACCGCATGGAATTCTTCTAAATTGGAACAGGCGACCAGCGGCCTCAAAAGCTGTGTATGGTTTTTCATCTTCACAGATAGGTATTTGATGATAAGCTTGTTTGAGGTCAATTGCACTGAATACTTTATTAGTTGCTACTGTTGACACGAGGTCGTCTATATTCGGTAGTGGATAGGCATCAAGTAGAGTGAACTTGTTTATAGTTTGTGAATAGTCCACTACTATACGTTTCTTTCCTTTGTCATTTGTTACAACCAGTACTTGAGCTCTCCAGGGGGATGAACTTGGCTCTATAATCCCTTCTGTCAACAGTCTATCTACTTCTTGTTTTATAAAGTGCATGTCCTCTTGTGAATAACGTCGAGACTTGGTCGCAATCGGTTTGCAGTCACAAGTTAAATTACAGAAAAGTTTTGGCGGATCAACTTTCGCACAGGAGCACACCATAAGGGGAGGTTTTTTACCCCCAAACCAAACTTGTACATTTGAGTGGAGCTTCATAACATCATGTCCAATGAGTACATCAGCGCATAGTTCTTCAAGGACCGTCAACTTTAAATCATTGTATTTATGTCCCAGCAAACTCAAACTGACTTTAACATACCCTTGAACGATTGACTTCAAATTGGACGCAGCTAGAGATACTTGTCCCTTTTCTTTATACATCCTCAAATTTATGCAACTTGACAAAATTTAAGTTAATAAAGCTTGATGTACTCCCTGTATCGATTAGACAACGTGCTTTGAGGTAGGGGTGTGCGAATAGTGATTTTCAACCTCGAGCCGAGCCGAGCCGAGCTTTTTAAAAAATGTTCGAGCTCGAGCTTTTTCGAGCCGAGCTTTTCCTAGCGTAACCTTATCTTAATTATTAAACTTTTTTTCTTAAAAAAGTGCATAATAATAATAATGTTCAGTCAATTTTTAAATAAACACAATGTTATTTTAATATGTTTAAAAACATTGAGAATTGTCAAGACATCAAATAGTAGATAATCACGATAAGAACTGAACTGAACTAAATGAAGATGCAAGAAATAAAATTATATCGATTGAAGGCCTGAAGAGATATGCAGTGCAGACTGAGACAATCAGATTGTCTTTCATAACAGAACAGCAACGCGACCTTGAATGATGACAAAACAACTAGCAAGTCGATTACATATGTATATTGTAACTACTATGAATATTTAATTCTATTTTGTATAAATAAATACAAAATAAATTTAAAAACACGTGATTATTTTTGTTGTTTTCCATGCACAAAATATTTTTGTTTTATGAATCCTATTAATCAAAAAAGAACATGGTTGGTTTGGATCCAAAAAGGTGGAGAGACAAGTTTTACTTATATATTCAAAAATATATAATTGACATATAGAGGAAATAGACCAAAGCACTAGAATTAATAGAATAACACACAAAGTAAACAAGAAATGAAATGCAGAACACGATGATTTAACACTGTCACTCAATTTTGTTATCTAGAAGGGTCGGCGAACTAATCAATAAATAGCCAAAACCAGTTTCCTCCCCTTCACACAGTCTCACCGCCCCCCTCCCCCCCAATCCGGGTGGCCCAACACTTTGTCCTTGAAACACCCTTGCGTCTGAAACAATAAACCCTTACACCCTCGTTGCTGTTTTGACAACAGGTTTATGAATGAGATCACTATTTTTCATTTCCAGAATTAACTATCAATTATTATTATTTGCAAGATACAAATAGGAAACTACATCACATTATGGTATTCAATGACCCATGTAGGCCTACTATCAAAAATTTATAACTCATTACTTATTTTGATAATAAAAAGCACTCATTACAGCACGTGCCACTTATTGATATATATATATAATCCTCAAAGTAACTGTTACTTTATACAAAATAAAATAGGTACAAAATTGTGTGGCCAGTCAAACTTTATAAACAAACATTTTATTCTATAAAATACAGATGGTAAATAGGGGTTGGTTTAAAGGAAATAAAATACAAAACATATTAATTAATTATTTTGATAAACATTAGAATGGTTATGGAATTGATTGAACTAAAATAACCGCAGGGAAACTTATAAGTAGAAAAGTCGTCAACCACAATCTGTTTAATCAGTACATTGTTAGAGAGAGAGAGAGAGAGAAAGAGAGATAGCAGATAGGGGCTTTTGATAAGGAATCTGAAAAAGTAAACAAACAAGGAACAACGACACGACGATACTCGTTTACAGCCTTATTGTCTCGCCCACTACATTTGCACACGTGACCACTTTTTGTTTCTTCCTTATCTTTCATCCGTCCCAAAATAGAATTCCTGGAATAGTTTGTTGGTATAATCTCCCCTCCCACACTAGGCGCAGTGCTCAGTGCGCACTGTAGACTGTAGGTTGCCACGGCAACCGTGTGTCGTCATAGCGACTTAGCAATCACGCACTCGCACTGCGTTGTATATTACGATACGAATAGTTGTGTTAGAAAGACAACGCGATAGGTGGTAGTTTCCTCAAAATTACGATCGATAATCATTGCGTCTTGACTGAGCTGAGGTTCGTGCTTATCAAGACACAATTATGAAACGGAGGAGAGTAAATTTAAATGAAAGTTAGTTCCTTATTTATTAATTTAATTTTTATTTGCTAGTTCAATAAGTATTCGGCTCGAACATTTTGAACTTTTTGAAAATCACGAGCCGAGCCGAATAGCGTCCTATTCGGCTCGAAAAAGCTCGATGTTCAAGTACTCGCACACCCCTACTTTGAGGCCATTTACATCAGCTTCAACTAAAGAATCATTTAATAGCGATGTATTGGCTGCAGTTGCAAGTAAGGCAGCAGATGTTCCAGAATTCTTTTGATTGGTTTTGAGATTCTGGGCTATACTTACTTTACACACTTTTGCATAGTGACCCACCTTTCTACATTTTCCACACGTTGCTTCTCGTGCAGGACAACGATCTCTGGAATGTCGGTCAAATCCACAAAAATAACACTTCCCAGAAACCTTGAAACCATGTCTACAGTCTCTTCTTCACCTGTAGTTGAGCGAGAATCACACTGAAATTTCTGTTTTGTCTCAGTTACAGCACAAGTTTGCATTCCGTATTCAACTTGTTTATAATGATCAACTTGAGCTTGGGCCATTTCGAGTGCTCTTGACTGCTTAACTGCGTCAGTTAAGTCTAATGTTTTGTTCTCAAATAATCGCTGTCGTATGTACGATGAAGATAAGCCATTTATAAAGGCGTCGCGTACATAGTGTTCCTTGTACTGAGCTGCGTTCACTGCATCAAATACGCAATCTTGGCTTAAAAGTTTGAGTTCAGTTACATAGTGATCGATGCTCTCTCCTTGCTGTTGTCTTCTTGTCATTAGCAAATATCGCGAAAATATTTCATTTTTCTGTTTTAAATAAATTGAGTTCAATGTTTTAATAGCATCTTCATATGTCTCTGCATCTTTTATGTATCTAAAAACTTTTAAAGATAGTCTATCATTCAATACTTTCAGTTTATCTTTCGTATCAGTTAGTTTTGTTATGGCTAGAAAATCTTGTAATGTGTGTAACCAGTGTCCATTCTTCATTTGCAGTTGGAGATTCAGGATCAACCTCAAATTTTTCTGGTTTAAGAAATTTAATCTTCTCCATACTGATGTAGCACTAGTTAAACTTATAATGAATAAAATTGTTGTAAATAAAGACAAGAGTAACCAAAATGTGGCTTTTATTCATTATAAAAATCAGCCATAATGTTGTTGTTTACAAAAACTCTAAAACATTAATATACAAAATAAAACATATGATTAAGAAACAGGCTTTAAACATTAAATATCATCACATCACATATCTAAAATCCATCGATGATCACGCCAGATTTGAACCTAGAATCTCAGGAACTTAAGCCCCTTGCTCTACTACTAACAATCAACACTTTTAGTAAATATATAACTTACTCGTTGATGGACATTTTAGATGGTATCTCAGACCAGAGGCGAGCGTATTTGACAGGCGTGACAGGCTCTTGAGGATCTCTGTCTACGTGGAGATGCAGCATCAAGCGGCAAAACGAGGCACGCAGCTCATATGGTACATTCTCATCAGCCATACATCTGGTGACAAACACTGTGATGAGAACCTTTAACCGAGCTATTCCAGGTTGAGGACCAAGTATGCTTTATTGTGCCTATAAACTGAAATCAATCGTTGATACCATTTTTTGCTAGAAAAGTATTGGTCCCGAAAAACGGAGTTAAAATGTTAAATGACTATTGGCGGTCTGACGATAATGACTATGCACTGCTACATCACCCGAATTGCGATAGTCAAAAGTTGTAATTGACCGGTACAAAAGTATATTTATATTTAAAAAACATTAAAATAGTTACATTAAAGTTAGATTTATTTAGGAATGTCACTGTCAAATAAAATAAAAAGCTAAGTAGTACAGTAGACTCCCGATTATCCGAGGTAATTGGGACTGGGACCACCTCGGATACGGGAAAACTCGGATAATACGGAGGTTATGTACGGTTATGGTAAAAATGACGTAAAACCCTGTGAAAGTTTTCTAAACTGGTTTATTAGAAGAAATAACATATAATAGACGAAATATAATACCTGTAAGCAAACATGAGCACATATTATTTCTTAAAAAAGTCTTTGATCGTCTTCTGAGCTAACCTCTTCCCTCGCTTGGATGATGCAATGTTGCTCCAACGCTGTAGAGTAAGAATGTCGTGTGGGGTACACTCTCCTTTCTGCTCTATGAATGCAAGACAGCGTCGATTGCCTTCAACCCGTCGGTGTATGATATTTTGGGAGTTATCTCGTCCAAATCGTCATCGTCTTCGTTGTCCTTATCACCGGTTACCATGTCAATTATTTCCACATCGTTAATTAACATCTGATCATCTTGATTGCACCAATCGTGAATATCTTCGCTGTCAATTTGATTTTCAACGGGTAACTCATTGGCTAGTTCGACTAGTTCACTCACGTTCTCGGGTTCTGGCGCTTTTTTTGGTGGTCCATCTATGCCAAATAAATTCTTCCATGACTTTTGAACGGTGGCAGTTTCAACCTCATCCCACGCTGAGGCTATCCAGTACGACACATCTTTCAATGTGACTTTTTTAAAGGCGACCTTAACAGTCATTCCTTTGTCTAACTTTGAAATCAACATCTGGAGAAGCTTTCGCCGGTAGTTCCTCTTCATCGCTTCTAGAACCCCTTGGTCTAGCGGTTGTATGAGCGAAGTAACATTAGGGGGTAGAAAGATTGCCCTAATATCACCCCTGCACAGTTCTTGGGCATCAGGGTGAGATGGCGCATTGTCCAATAGTAGAAGAGCTTTCCTGGGAAGCTTATTTTTTTATTTCAAAAATGCTTCAGTGACAGGCACAAATACGTTGAAAAACCACTCACTAAATATTGGGCTGTCCATCCACGCACTCCTTTGGTTGCAATATTTTGTTGGCAGGCAGTCGACTTTTATATTTTTAAAAGCTCTTGGATTTTCAGCCTTTCCAATAAGGAGCGGCCTTAACTTCAATGAGCCAGAAGCATTAGCTGTAGCCAGTATTGTAACCCTTTCCTTGCTTTTTTTAAATCCAGGAGCAGTCCTCTCAGATTTTGCTGCCAAGGTCTTTGAAGGCAGCATTCTAAAATTAAGACCCGTTTTGTCCGAATTGAAAATTTGATCTGAAGTTAATCCTTCCTCCAACACAATTTCTTCAATTTTCTTTTGGAATTCTGTGATTTCAGATGTGTCCGCTGATAACTTCTCCCCAATAATGTTAAGCTGCCTAATCCCATACCTCTTCTTCCATCGGTCCAGCCATCCTTCACTCGCCGTAAATGTTTCCTCTCCGTCTTTAAAGTTTTTATGGTATTCAATCGCCTTAGCCTCTAGCATTGGCCCACTCACAGGACTGCCCATCCCTCAAAGCTGAGAAAACCACAAAAAAGAGCCTCAGACGTCTGCTCGTAGTTGCCCTTCTTTAAAGTCTTTCTACTAGGAACACCGCCTCCACTTACACTCTTGTTCACAAATTTTTCGATTTCTTTTCGTTTTCGTTTCCAATCACCAACTGTCACTTTCCCAACCCCCAAATCAGCTACCTTTTTAATGGACTCGCCTTTGTCCAAACGTTTAATCGCGTTAAATTTTGTTTCAAGAGAAACTAAAACCCTCTTCCGTTTCCCACTCATAGCAACAATGAAAATCAACAACAAACGATGAACAATCGGAAACAGTAAAAGTCAACAATAAGAATCAACAAAAAACGATAAACAATCGGCAACAGTAAAAGACAAAAATAAACAATAAACCATCAATTAAAGATGCAAAGGAACACATCAACACAACCACATTTAGCGCGAGTACGACTTATGACACCAACCAAGTTCCACTACCCGACCTAGCCAGTAGAGACGTCCACTGCTCGACCGCGCTTGTTAAACAAATAAAAATTACGGATCCCCGTAGTTATCTCAATATTAAGACCTTTATTTATATTTCATATTTTTTTATGACTGGCCCGGTTAACCCGGAGGCTCGGTTAACCGAGACTCGGATAACCGGGAGTTTACTGTAGATTACAAATTGAGTTTTTCCTGGTAAAAAATCATATACAAGTGTATTTATAAATAATAGTGATGGTCGGATCCGGATATCGGACTACCGGATCCGAGCTAAAACCGGCACCCGATCAGATCCAAAAACTTCCGGATCTTGGGCTGGATCCGGTTTTGATGGAACCGATTTTTTCAAATTTTTTCCTGATTATTTTCCTAACACAAAGTTGTCTGTATCCATGTAAGAGACCGATTTCCCCCCGATTTTTTTACTAACACAAAGCTGTCAGTATCACTGTACAACCCCAATTTTTTACTAACACAAAGCTGTCTGTATCACTGTACAACCTCGATTTGTTTACTAACACAAAGCTGTCTGTATCACTGTACAACCCCGATTTTTTTACTAACATAAAGCTGTCTGTATCACTGTACAACCCCGATTTTTTTACTAACACAAAGGTTTCTGTATCCATGTACAAGACCGTTTTTTTCCCGAGTGTTTGTCTCTTGATGCAAATAACTTATATGGCAAGGTGGTGGCTCAGTGTTTGTCTCGAGATGCAAATAACTTATATGGCAATGGCATGTATCTTTCCGAACCGAATCCGACCCGATTTTTCGGATATCTGCACGTTTCTAGTTTTTAGTTTTGTACCTGGATGATAAGCTAACGGTCTATAATCTCGTTTTGAAAATATCCCGTTGGTATTTCAATCCCGCCCGATGCATTGTGAAGTTTTGGGTCTTGTCCATCACTATAAAATACCCCGTGTCTGTGTACAAGAAGATTATCTCTGTATATACAGTAGAATAAAAAGTCAAGACTCCCCATCTAATATTTTCCTAAGTTAGAACACAGTATAGACTTCTTGTACTCAGACACGGGGTATTTTACTTGTAGAACTTCACATACTTGGCTATCAGTACTGTGGACCTGGAACGAATTTAAGGAAGAGATTAACAAGAGGTGATCCACTGATCCAGGCATAAATAAATTGGATGCTGCATGCAAAAACCACGATATAGCATACTCAAGATCGAACTATAGTAAAATATACACAGATACCCTTTTGGTGGTCGTGCAAACTTAGTGCATTTTATGATTTTGAAAATTGTTAGTGTCCCCAAAAAATGAGGGGTTATGGGCTCAACTGAAGATTACTCTATATATAAGATGTATTAACCTTTAAACATTACCAATTTAATTTTAAACAGTATGATTTAAATTGGCATTCTGTTAATTACGTTTTTTTTAACCCGCCCTTATGACAGTGTGTATCTTGTGATCCGGATCCGGTACCGACATTTTCTTGGATCCGCCCATCACTAATAAATAAATGCTAAAAATGTGATACACAAAACAGTTTTGCTAATGGAGTGAGGATATGCCTTCAGTAGAGCTCCTCTAAACCAATTTCTACAGGGGGGGGGGGGATAATAGTTGCCTTTATACAAAAGATTATTTTTATTACCCTGCTTGATAAAGCAGGATTCTATATTTTACGTTTTACAATAATACTTCTATAGAGTTTTCAACTAAAAATAACAAATGACAACAAGAAATATGCAAAATTTGGCATCTTGAAGATTTGAGCAGAATTATTCATAACTGATAACTGTTACATCAGTTAAAAGAGTTTCTGCTGTAAAAATATCCCATACCATACCTTATAAACAACTATTTTACTCTTTAACAATAAATTAATAAAGATACATTACTTGAGTATGAGGTCGATGTCAAGATGGGGAGAGAGATTGTTGAGAGCGAGGTATTGTCTGTTGAGGCACATGTTGGAGAAGAGATCCAACTGGTGTCTGTAGTAATCTAACAGAGCTTGGTCACTGCCACTGCCACTAACACCACTCAGGACTGGTTCTCTAGATAGCACCACCAACGCTCTAGACTTCTGTAAACAACAAGAAGTGTCAATAGAGAAAGAGGAGTGAGTATACAGTAACAGTTGTTATCTACTGGTATAAGTTCGTGACATCTAAGGACGCTGACAGTGTCTTAAAGCTATCCTTGACTGTCTGGGTCAATAATTTTTCTGACAGGAAACTTTTAATACATATAATAGGAAATAGGCAGCTCTATTACAATTGTTCTCTTTAAATTAAGGTTTCAAATGAGCTCATGTTGTGATGAAAAGAGCTTTATAAATTCTGACAAATAAGCTGTACCTTCTCTATTTATATTCTGTCGTTTCCACTTCAAATGCAACGCTCAGTATCTTCGAAGTAGCTGTGTAATGCTCCCATCAAGTGTAAACTCTAAATTTTTGTTCTGTGTGTGAAATATAACCTAACTGGTTGAGGATGTCTCTAAGACTATTGTGGGAGACAGTAGGCCCTACACCATTGTAGTTTTAAACAAAATTACCTGTAGGCTAAAGTTCCTATGTTTTGTCAATATCTTTTGTCTAAACCAATGAAAGCCTGCAGCCCGCTTTTTTGTGCAAAAACTTACGTTTGTTACTTTTACTACCATACACTTTTTTCATAGAAATCCATCAACGAACAATGGATTTCTCCACAGTTTGACACCTTAAAGTTCAGAAATAAAACCACAGAAAACAACTCATACTCATAGAGGTATCAACTTTTTTTTCATCACTAGCAAGTACAAAATCAAAACAGACATGCATTGGTGTGGCGAGAAAAAGAGGTAGGGGAGGTTAAGAACTGAGCACAAACTACCATGTTAAGACAATAATAGGTTTTTTTTACATACCTCAGTCAAATAGTCCAAAAATGGTATTGCTCAACAGCTTACATGTTTCGTTGCGAAGACAACATTATCAAAGCTTGCAACTCGTCAAAAACACATTTAAAACACGAACACGAACACAGAAGACATTAATACGGTACGAATACACAATTGACATTTAGATAGCGCTATCATAATACTGATTTGGTCCGGCGCGGCGCGGGGCTGGTAGCAGACTGGAGGTCACGTCACATCGTCTCCTCTACTGTTATCACTGATGTTATCAGATCTTCGATCAGCTGTTCCTGAGTTTAATATTGTATTAAAAATCGAGTGAGACTGGAACTGTAATTTTTCGTTAAGGATGTGGTCCTTACACTGTTCGTCATTATAAATTTTATAAATCTCGAACTCCTCCAAGGTGTCAAGTTTGCTACCTTTCCCACAGACATGTAGAATTTTTAAACCATCGTCAATGCTACTCATTGAGTGATTTGAATCAACCAGGTGTTGTGCGAAGGCTGATTTTTGTTTGACCATTTTTGGAGTAGGCCTATGTTCTCTGTAGCGGGTTTCAAATGCCCGACCCGTCTGGCCTATATACTTGCATGGGCAATCTGGGCAACTGATCTGGTAAACACCGGTGTTATTTAATTTGTTGCTAGTCCCTTTATTATGCAAGATGTTCCTAGTGCGGTTGGTGGTTCGGAACGTTAAGTCGATGCCTTGCCTATTTAGTTCTTTTTTAAGGCTGTTTTCTACAGAGTGGCTGTACTCCACGCAAACATATTTTCTCTCACTCTTATCTGGTTTAATATCTTGTTTTCTTTTGTTCTTACATTTGCTAATTAATCTGTCTACCAAATCGTGTTTGTACCCATTGGCTGATGCGATATACTTTATTAATGAGCATTCTTTGTTATAATTATCGGGGCTTAATGGAACAGTTAACATTCTGTGGATCATGGAGTTGTAGGCTGCTATTTTTTGCGAAAACGGATGGTAAGAAGTGGAGTGAATTGTTTGAGCTGAAGTGGTTGGTTTTCTGTAAATACTGTAATCAAATTTGCTGTTATTCTTCGTGACTGTGAGGTCTAGGAAATTTATTCTATTGTTTGACTCTGTTTCTAAAGTAAACTTTAATTTGGGTGCGATGTTATTCAGATAGTTGAGTAGGAGGTTTAATTGCCTATTGTTGCCATCGAATAAAACAATGGTGTCATCCACATATCTGAAGTACATGCTGATTTTATTTTTGTAAACGTTTTTATCGCAGAAAATGTTGTTGTTCTCGATGTAATTTAAATATATATCAGCCATAATACCCGATAATGGGGATCCCATTGCCAGTCCCTCATTCTGAACATAATATTTATCATTGAACTTAAAATAGTTTTGGTGTAAGACTTCAGTTAACAAGGCCATTAGTTCGTCCAACGCCTCTGGTAAAAGATTAGATTTTTCAGTGAGTTTGTCTTTAATTATTTCTAATGTCTTATCTACAGGAACATTGGTGTATAAATTTACAATGTCAAACGAAGCTAAGGATTGATGCATTTTTATTTGTAAGTCTTTGGTTTTTTCTATAAATTCCATGCTGTTTTTCAAACTGTGGTTGTTCTCAATAAATATGTTGTCTTTTAATATGCGTTCTAATTTTTTCGCTACTTTAAAGGCGGGGGCACTTGTGTAATCTACAAGGGGTCTGATAGGTATGCCTTCTTTGTGTACCTTGGGAAGTCCACGTAAAGCGGGTGCAGAAGGATTCATGGCACGTAATGATTTAATTTCACTATCGGTGAACAGCACTTTACTCCCATTTATGAGTTTCTTAATTCTTTTTTGAAATGACGTTGTTGGATCTTCGTTGATTTCAATGATGTTATTGTTGGTAATGAAATCAGTAACTTTGTTGTTATAATCATTGGTGTACATTATTACCGTGGTGTTTCCCTTATCAGCTTTACATAGAACAGCGTTGTTGTCAGATAGTTTGGATTTAATACTTTTTAATATATTTAAATCTTGTTTCTGAGACGGGAGTAAAGTAGTGCAATTTTTGTTCTTATATTTATTGTTTAGTCTACGTGAGATTATCACCCTAGCTTCATTCCTACATTCTTCGTTTCCAATAGATTTTATGGCAATTTCAGCATTTATTAATTCAGAAAACATTTTTTTCCTACCCTGTGAGGGAAAATTATGTTTTAGGCCTTTGTCAAGCAGCGCCATTTCATCACTGTCAAATGTGATCTCTGTTTGGTTTACCGTATTAGGAAAGAATTCAAAGTCGAATGCGACAGCGGTCTGCTTATCGCGTTGTTCATTCACTAACCTAGTGAGCTTTTTCCGTAATGTAGACTTCTTCTTCCTCATCACTCTAGATACGCTTGTTTCGACATGGCGGACGAGATGTTCCAGTTCCGCATAATGAGCTGTGTTTGCCATTTCTAGATACTTTTTCATTAATAATTTGTTTAACAATTGTTTTTTATAATAAAGATATTTTATTTCATTCCTGATCCACAATTTCTGTGCTGCAGCAGACCGCTGTCGCATTCGACTTTGAAGCTTTACGTGGACTTCCCAAGGTACACAAAGAAGGCATACCTATCAGACCCCTTGTAGATTACACAAGTGCCCCCGCCTTTAAAGTAGCGAAAAAATTAGAACGCATTGTTAAAAGTCAAAAATGGAGAGAAAAAGGACTCGATACTGGGCAGAAAATAATTTAATTATTCACAAAAGAAAAGTTACTCAATCATAGTAAAATGCTACCAAACAATTATTCCTGTATCACAACATAACAATTCATCCCAAAAATCATATGTGTTAAAATTATTAAAGTTCATATTTTTATACCAGCTGGAAAAAGACAAAAAATATAAACCATACATTATTGAAATAAAATGTTTGAATACTATATCCAACATTCTCCCACCTTTTGACTTGCAAAGTCAAAATATTAATTATTAATTCAGGTATCTTTGTGGGGGTATAATTTTTCTTCCTCTTTGTGTGTAAACTGGTTGATCATGTTCACTATCAACACCTTCAGCTACTTGTTCATCTTCCACTTCGAATGTTTCATTACCATCTTGATTGTCTTTCTGCTGGACCAATTCAAGTGGAAACACATGTTGTATGGGTCTCAGCACTGTTCCTTTTGATGTTTTCATTTCCACAAGACGTATGTTGCCATCTTTTCCAGGAAGTATCTTCTCAATCTTCGCCAAAGGCCAGTCCATCCGTTTGGTATTGTCGCTTCCAAGTAAAACAATTTCTCCAACTTGCACTTGACGAGATTTCTTCTTCTTCGAATGCATCACCAATTGACTTAAATATTCGCTTCTAAATCTTTTTTCAAGATCTTCTTTTAATTTTAATTTAAAGTTCCAACGTCGAGACAAATTTGTGTAGTTGATCTGGTCCAAATCAATACCTCCATACTCCTTCGTACCATTCAAAAACATAGCTGGCGTCAAAACTTCCATGTCATGGCTGTCTTCTGAAATGTAAGTCAAGGGTCTACTATTTATGACAGATTCACAACTGCACAAAACAGTCAAAAATTCTTCATAAGTCAAACTAGCTCTTCCTAAGACTCTGCGAAGAAGCTGTTTCAATAGTCTTATGAGTCTTTCCCACCAACCTCCCCACCATGGTGAAGCAGGTGGGTTGAATTTCCATTTTATACGTTTGATTGTGCTGTACTCAACAATCTTATTCCAATCGATTTGCTTCAACGCACTGTAAGCCCCTCGGAAGTTAGTGCCGTTGTCTGCAAACAAGACTGTTGGTCGACCCCGTCTGGAAATGAATCTTCTCAAACTTTGCAAGAATGACTCAGTCGATAATGAAGTAACTAACTCCAAATGCACGGCACGGTATACTGCACATGTATATAATGTAATCCAAGCTTTTTGTCCATCTCGCAGGAAAACAGGTCCAGCTAAGTCAACTCCACAGACTTCAAAAACAGAAGCATCTCGAACCCGTTGCGAAGGAAGTGGTACTGGATCAGTATCCAAACTTTTAACACAATATCGCTTGCATTTGACACATTTGTCAATAACTGATTTTACAGTTCTTCTCCCACTAATAATCCAAACTTCTTCTCTGAGAATAGATAACAATCCTTGGACTCCAACATGTGAATTTTCTTCATGTTTGTATTGTATGTATCTGTGAACAACAGGATGGTTACTCGGCAATACGATTGGAAGATTAAAATTTCTACTATCAGGTCTCTCTGTGATTTTTGTTTTTAACCTTAATAAACCATCACTGTCTTCAAACGGACACAATGAACTCAACTTTTCATCCTTGATACTATGGAAAGCGTCTTTCTGAATAAGTTTAAACACTTTATTTTGAGCCTTAATCAATTCATCAACCGACAATCCTCCTGATATCTTTTGTTTAGACATATTTGTGTTAGAACAAAATCTCAAAATCCAGCCTACCAATCTGACGATTTTATCAAATCTGGAGAAATATCTGTAATACCAACAATCTGGTTCAGGTTTTGAATTAATCATAATCTTTGTAGTTGATTTGATCTTCCTAAGTTCAGAATTTACTTCTTTCTCATCACAATCATCACTGAAGTTTTGGTTAGGCCACAAGTTTGATGAGTTTCTTAGCCATTGTGGTCCCTCCCACCATTTCGACTCCACTAGCTGCTTAGGAGAACATCCACGTGACGGCAAATCAGCCGGATTCAAATGGCCTGGAACATGATTCCAAGATTCAATGTTACTAAGGGATCTTATTTCTTTTACTCGGTTCCAAACAAACACTCCCCAGTAATCTTCTCGACGAATCCATGACAAAACGGTGGTTGAGTCGGTCCAATAAAATGTTTTGACATTTTCAAATCCCAAACTCTTTAAGACGTTGTCAGTTAGACGAGCGCCAATGGTAGCCGCCAGTAACTCCAGCCGAGGAATGGTCATTTTCTTGACAGGTGCAACTCTACTCTTCGCTTGAACTAATTGAACTGTGACAAGTCCATTAGATTCACCCCTCAGGAAAACCGCGGCCGCATAAGCGTCCTGGCTTGCATCACAAAAACAGTGAACTGTCCAAGAAATATTCCCTCCGATTTCATTTCCAAAATATCTTGGAATTTTCAAATTTGAAAAAATCTCAAGTTGCTTTGCCCAATCTAAAAACAAAAGTTTTATCTCTTCTGAAACCTTGTCATCCCATCCAATTTTACTTTCCCACGTTTTCTGCAACAATATCTTAGGCAAGAGTGTAGCAGGACAAGTTATACCTATGGGGTCAAACAACTTGTGAGCAAAAGACAAAATAGATCTCTTCGTTACTATTTCAGGCTCTTTAAACTCAAAGTTTTCAAAATTCAACTCAATCATGTCAGTATTTTTGTTCCAATTTAAACCTAAGATAGGTATCAAGGTAGAATCATTTTTGAAACTCTGAATTTCTGTGTACTCCCAACTCCGAAGACAGAATCTAGCATCTTTCATTACAGAAGTCGCTTGATCTACAAATTGATTCAAATCTGAAAAGTCATCAAAACTTGCCATACAATTATCTACATAGAAACTTCTCGTCAGCGTCTCTACTACTTTTCTTGAGTAATTTAACGATCCAGAATCTATCAAGTCTAATGTTTTTTCTAAATGAAGTTCTATTACTGCACTTAGCATAAATGGGCTACAGGTAACTCCAAAGACCACTCTAGCGTGTCTGTAAACAACCAATTGACCATCTTCATTAATCCACAAAAAACGAAGAAAATCTCTATCATCCATATGTACACCAATCTGTAGAAAAGCCTTCTCGATGTCAGCAACAACTCCATATCTGTGTAGTCTAAAACGATTTAATATGGACGGAATCAATTCAATAAGGTTGTCACCTTTTTCTAGACAATCGTTCAACGAGGGCTGATTCTTTTCTTTAGCAGATGCATCAAATACAGGTCTCAATTTCGTGGTAAGACTGTTTTCTTTTATCACATGTCGATGCGGTAGGTAGTGGCCAATTTCCAAATCGGCATCGTTAACCTTCTCTATGATACCTAATTCCTCCCAGTCAGACAACACCTGTTGATATGAACTAAGATATCCACTAGAATTAAGTTTATTTGTAAGATTACTGAGTCTCTTCTGTGCTACTTTTAAATTAGTAGGTAACGGCGGGTGATCATCAACCCATGGCAATTTGACCTGATATCTGCCATCATTTTCCACTGAAACAGATTCTACAAAATGTTCCATTGTTCTACTTTTAACTGAAGATTCACTCTTTACCTCCACTGGATCCTTGATTCCTAAAACATCCAAACTCCACAAATCTGAAATGGATTTATTATCAATAGGGGACAGTAAAGAAGTTACTGCCATAGAACTGGACCTGTCATTCCCTTCAACTGTGGTTCTTCCCATTAAAGTCCAGCCCAACAAAGTGTGCATTGCAACTAACCCGTTGGAAAGCAGATATCGTTTCTCAGTGTAAAGTTTCCCTGCAACGTCTGCACCTATCAGAACTTCAATAGGCCCGTCTCCATCTGTTACATTAATTCCCAGTGTTCCAAGCTCAATGGACCAAGGACCAGGCTTAACTGTTGTAACATCGTTACAAATTATGTCTTGATCAAGAACGTCAAAATTGCAGGCATAACTGTTATTTAAGTCACTTAGTCTAACCTTATAACACGCATGTTCAATTGTTTCAGTACTAGTGCCACCAAATAAAGCATGAGCTAGCTTCTCCTTTTTGACTATGTCGTAGCCAAATTCTTTTGCTGTATTTTTCAAAATATAAGATCGTTGTGATCCCGTATCTATTAATGCACGTGCTGTTCGCTCTCGATTTTGGTTTCTAATTTTTACTAAAAAAGTTTGTAAAAACACTTCTGTGTGAACATTGTTTGCTAGAGAACTTTCTTTGACTGGTTGTTCATTCAATGAACTTCCTTCTGCAGCAGATGCCCTACACATAACAGCAGTGTGCCTCCTTCCACAGTTGGGACATTTTACTCTAACTTTACATTGCGCACTCCTATGACCATACTTCAAGCAAGTAAAGCAACAACCATTTTTTCCAACGATTTTCACCTTCTCGTCTACTGTCAATTTACTGTCTTTACATTTTTCAGCTAAGTGATTAGAACCACAAAACATACATTTAACGTCTTTAGTATTTGACTTCGTTGGGTTAACTAAACCAGCAGCTGTCGGCATCATTTCAGTATGTCTGGTGTAACTAGGCTTAGGTCGAAATACAGTAGATTTACTTACTTTAGGCTGTAGGTTAGGTCGCTTACTATTTTCAAAACCAGATGCGGCTAGAGTAATCCTTTCCTCGTTAGCAACCTCCTTTTGCAGAAACTTCATCAAACCATCAAGTCTATCCTTAAGTTCAGCATCAACTTCATAGCTGGAGTGACGCTGCCAAGCTCTCAACAGTTCCTC